ACATCTGGATGATCAGTCCGTGTACCACAGTGACCATGCGCTAGGGACGGACTCTGACGAAGATGGAGAGAAGAGCGATGAGCCAGTTGTCGAGGTCCGCGGTGGGATTGTGAATGAGCGAGATCGCGATCTGGAAGCTGCTGGCCCGACGCCGGCGCCGGCGCCGGCGTTGGAGAAATCCAGGACGGCACGGTCTGAAAATGATCCTAAGCTGGTATGTGCTGCTCTTGTATTGTTCGGGGGCTAGATAGTTGATATTCCTCTCATTAGGTGACCTGGAATGGGCCCGATGACCCCGACAATCCGAAGAACTGGCCAATGAAGAAGAAGTGGGCGGCCGTGGTCACGGTATCATGCTTCACTTTCATCTCGCCGGTGTCGTCGTCGATGGTTGCACCCGCGTTGACGGCTATCGGGTCGGACTTTCACATCACGGACGAGGTCACCCTCAGCATGACGCTGTCGGTGTTTGTGCTGGCGTATGCGGTCGGCCCGCTGTTCCTGGGTCCGTTGTCGGAGATCTATGGGCGAGTGATTGTGCTGCAACTCGCCAACCTGTTCTACCTCGTCTTCAACATCTGTTGCGGCTTCTCGAAGAACAAGGCTCAGATGATCGTCTTCCGGTTTTTGGCCGGCCTGGGCGGAAGTGCCCCGTTGGCAGTGAGTGTTGCATCGTGGCTAGGCATCGGTTGTGTCGCTAATTACGTGCTAGATCGGCGGTGGTGTACTCTCCGACTGCTTCAGACCCGAAGAGCGAGGCAAGAGTGTCGCTATCTACAGTCTAGCTCCGCTCCTCGGTCCCGCCGTCGGCCCCATTGCCGGTGGATTCATCGCCGAGAACACCACGTGGCGCTGGGTGTTCTACGCCACCTCCATCGCCGACGCCATGATCCAGTTCGCCGGTCTGTTCTTCCTCCGCGAGACCTACGCCCCGGTGATTCTCCGCAAACGCGCCCAACGCCTGCGTAAAGAGACGTCTGATGACGGCTACCAGACGGAACACGAACGCGCCAACCGCACGCTGGGCGAGGTGATGCGCAGCGCTTTGATGCGTCCGTTCCGACTCCTCGGCACGCAGCCCATCGTGCAGCTGCTGGCGCTGTACCTCGCCTACATCTACGGCACCATGTACCTCGTGCTCGCGACGTTCCCGACCCTGTGGACCAGCCCGGAGTACTACCACGAATCCACCGGCATCGGCGGGCTGAACTACATCTCGCTCGGCCTGGGCTTCTGGCTGGGCTCCCAGCTCTGCGCCCCGCTCAACGACCGCATCTACCGCCGCCTCAAGGCCCGCAGCGGCGGCGTCGGGCGGCCGGAATTCCGCGTCCCGCTGCTGTACCTCGGCGCCGTGCTCGTCCCCGCCGGCTTGTTCATCTACGGCTGGACGGCCGAGACGCACCGCCACTGGATCGCGCCCAACATCGGCGCGATGCTGTACGGGCTGGGCAACATCATCACCTTCCAGTGCGTGCAGACGTACATCGTCGACTCGTACACGCGCTTCGCGGCCAGCGCCCTGGCCGCCGTCGCCTGCATGCGCTCGCTGGCCGGCTTCGGGTTCCCCCTGTTCGCGAGCTACATGTACCAGGCGCTCGGGTACGGGTGGGGCAATAGTCTGTTGGCGTTTGTGTCAATTGGGCTGGGGATCCCTGCGCCGCTTCTGCTGTGGCGGTTCGGCGAGCGGCTGCGCAAGATGAGTCCGTACGCTGCGGGATGAGTTTTAGAGAGATGTGGGTAGATACTTCGTTGGTTAGGTAATAAATGGTATACGTATGATCATTGTGGCGTATGTAGGTCCCTGCTCAAAGGATATCGCACTTTCACTATCATTTCTCTCGTTCGCTTTGCTCGGGAGGCGGATTGCCTCAGTGGGTACTGGGTCAATTAGATCGGACTGCAGCGATCGAACTACTGCCTCTTGTCTAAGAGATAAGTCAGCACTCGCCTTGAATACTAGCATAGCCATGGGGATAAGGTAGTCATTTCCATGCCCGAGTCCAAATATGGAAGGAATCCTTTCGACCCGAGCAACGCGGAAATGTAGCCAGCCGAGCGTACCCCCTCTCTCGACTGCTATATGTATCTACAAATCCACAGCCAGCAACATCTTACTCACTCAGACAGGAAACCACATAATACGCTCGGCAGGTCAGTAGCCCAACCTTGAAGTAAGCATCACTCTTGCCGTTACTGTTTAACAAACTTGGCCAGTCAATCATTTCGTCTACAACCAGGTTCGTTCCCTCGGGGCGAGCACCGACTCGGACCTTCTTCTCCTCTCACTAGGTGCTTCCCAGCAACATATGGTGCCTCCGGGACCCAGGCTCGAGGCATTCTCTCATTGCCAACATTGACATCGATGCAGAGAAAGTATATACGTTGGAGAAGCCCGATCATGCTCTACATTCATCTAAATCAGGATCTGGGGCTGATCTCGAGCCTGGTGGCGCAGTAGCAGGAGGTTACCCATACCGGGCTGTTTTTGTCTATGCCTGACGCTCGATGCTCGATCTTTCTCTCGGCGTAGGTACGGTATGTATGCCCTGTCTGTACTCTTCACCAATTGGCACCTTGTTCAAGGGAAAAGAGGAGAATAAGAAAAAAAAATAAAAGGTGACTAGATTGGACTAGTCCTCTGGGCCAAGACTCGTCACTCCAGTTAATCAGTAAGGCGTATAAACGGTCACGAGGGAGCAGTACGCTCACTCTCTGATATCAGAGTTGGATGTGGCTAGTGGCGACGCGCTCTACTGTCCTCGACGCTGTGTCCAATGCTGGCCACTGTCGGAGTGCAATCTACACATATACTCTACTTTGCTCGAGATGTGTAACTTGGACGGGATTGATCAACTCAACTCGAGAGCCCAGGCTGCTCTCCGAGGGTGACCCACGTGGGTTGAAGAAAGTGTGGAATTTGGAAGGAATAGAGAGCCAAAGTGAAGATGAAGTTGCTCGGGTTCGAAGCATTTCATAAATGGATTGGCGGGTTCCTGCCGCTGAGTTGTGTATTTTTTGACGCTGGGGAAGAGCCGGTCCTGACAGGGGAGCCAGGTCAGAAAGCATGATCCTAGCTCTTCGTTGCATAGATGATGTGATACGTATAGCCAAGGATGTCTACGTCTTCGGCAGGTCTCTCGGTTCTAGATGCCGTTCTTTTTCTGTTCCCTTCTTCAGATCGAAGGTGGGACACCGGATGACTCCAAATCAGGGTCGACTGGACGCCCTGCCTCGGCTAGGATGGACCCTGCTCGACTCCGATTCTTCCACCCTCCATCTCACGGCGTGACTGTTTGCAGTAAGTGATGGCAGACAAAACGCAAGCATTACCTGGACCAGTATGCATGCATGCATGATTTCTAATAATAAAGAATATACCCTGCTTTCCAATCCAACAATGACCAAGCAAATCCCCGTGTCGGAGCACATATGAACCGCGTGCTTTCAATCACACTCATCTCCCCTCAACAGTCCATCCATACACAACCCCGGCCATTCTCCCGATGAAACCAACCGAGCCAAGAGCCAACGTCACTGGAAAATAGACTTCCCGCTGACTCACAACCCTACATCCGCAGGGTGCTGCATAGTCTTCCTCATTTGTTCTGGGTGCGGTACATAAACGCTGGACTTTGCTCCGCCCTGCCAAGGACAAACCGCCGTCAGTAAACAACATGTACGCGACCAGCTCGGCCATAGTACGTATACCCGTGCAGATCACCTCCAGCAACCGAGGATATTCCACAAATGAGACGGGGCAAATTACTCAGCTCCGGCGGGAGGGGAAAGAGAGAGAAAGGCTTGGCGGGGGGGGGGGGGGGCAGCCAAATCCGCCCGGTGCATTGCCAAGACCGTTAGGGGGACGGGGACTAGCCCTAGGGCCCTAGGGGCTCCAAGGGGTTGCAGAAGGATGGCGTAAGCTGGTGGAGCACTGCTGGTGAGTTGGGGTCAGGGAACCAGGGTCGTTGGTGGTTGGGTGTGTTTCAAACTTTATGGTTATGCTTATTTTCTGCCCATCTGTTTTCTTTCTTTGAGATGATTTTTACTGTACGTAGATCTTGGATACCCGTTTGGCTGGTTGAAGGATGGAGTAGGTTTCTCTGTAGGTGGGATCGAGGATGTATTCCTATCGAAGGCTGACTAGGATTTCAGAGTAGAAATTTCTTTGGATAAGGGTGCTTGATCCTGTTTGCTTCGATTTAGCACCAGGGCCCTGAAAACGCCGGCCGAGGATATTGTAGTCCAGCATACTGCAGGGTCCATCTTCCGCTGCCTCAATCTCTCCATCCACTGATGAGACATGTGGCTGAACCCCAAAATGTCTTTGTCGGCCAATCCCGGTCTCGTCAATTTTAAGCATGCCTGTCTGCCATCCGCTTACGAAACGGACCCTCGTGCCTGTGAGAGTGACCGGATTTGTTGTGCGAGAAGCGCGAGAGGGTGGATCCTGGCCGCGTCGTCAGCGGCCGATGATCTTACCCCGATGGATAACGGGTCTGGCCCGTTCCTTTGAGATCTCTGCTTGACTTCTACGGAGAGGAAGCGGATGAGGCAATCGATCAGATTTCTGAGGTCTTTCTAGCCTCCAAAATGGTGATGTCTTGGCGGGGGGTTGTCCCCGCCGGCGGGTCTAACAGCACTTGTGCCAGCTATCGAGCTAGCTACTCCGTAGTTTGCTAGCTAACTCGCTTGCTTGTCTACTGCGCCCTGTGTCTCTGTGGATGCGTGTGTGCGTATGTGCGTGCTATACTCCTGTCAAACTGCTATCCTGTTGATTGCGCAAGACGGGGGTCCAGATGGCTTGCGTCAGCTGGGGCTGGCAGCGGCAGCATCACGGAGGAATGGTCAGTATCCGTGTCACTTCGAGGTTGAGAGGCAAGAGACAGGAGATATAAAAGCGGGCGCTGGATGCTGCATCTCATGAGAAGACAACAACAGCATCACATCCCTTATTTCCCTCACTCAGTCTCCTCTCTTTCTGCAAAGCACCCCTCGTCAGTATGGTTCGCGTTACTGCCACCGTGATTGCCGGCCTAGCTGGTCTAGCCGGCATGACCTCTGCCCATCCGGGCCACGACGTGCGCGCGGAAGCCGCGGAGCGTGCCGCCTTTTTGAAGCGTGCTCCCATGCACGCTCGCGGTTTGAGCCAGTGCGCCAGCAAGCTCAAGGCCCGTGGCCACGAGAGCAGCAACATCGCCCGTCGCCAGGCGACGCTGGATTCTCTGCGCCGTCGCAAGGGATTGTCCACTCGTACGCATGGCCCATCACCAGCTTATACTCACGAACGATCATGCATGCTCACACTCAACAGGTGCACCTCTCCTCAAGGCCCGCGACCTGACCACTATCCTCAACACCTCCCACTTGTCCTCGTTGGATGTGACCGAGAACACTCAGGACTATGATACCTTGTTCGCCTCCAACGCCAGCTGCGTGCTCGGCCCGGACGTCACCCAGGGTCCTTACTGTGCGTGCTCCTGCCTCTTCACCCTCCAGCCATCATCCAACTGACAGTGTCATCAGACGTCAGCGGCGAATTGATCCGCAGCGACATCGTCGATTCCCAGGAGGGTGTCCCTCTGTACCTGGACATCCAGCTGGTCGATAGCAGCACCTGCGACCCCGTTCCGGATGTGTACATTGATTTCTGGCACTGCAACGCCACCGTACGTTGTCCCTACTTCCCCCCTGATCAAACTCATCCATAAGAAACTAAACCCGGTGAAATAGGGCGTCTACTCCGGCATCCAAGCCAGCGGCAACGGCAACTCGAACGACGCCTCCAACCTGGACGCGACCTTCCTGCGCGGCATCCAGCAAACCGACGACTCGGGCGTGGTGCAATTCCAAACCATCTTCCCGGGCCACTACACCAGTCGCGCGACTCATATCCACGGTGAGTTTGCCTGCCTGCCCTGTCCTATCCTTTACCCCTATTTTAAAATGCCCCCTCAACCCCCCCCCACAAAATACTAACCCGCGCAAAAAGTCCTAAGCCACAACCCCAGCACCACAACCAGCACCAACGCCAACGACACCCTGACGGACGGCCTGTACAGCACGACGGCCAACCACGTGGGCCAGCTCTTCTTCGACCAGGACCTGATCGCCGAGGTCGAGGCCACTAGCCCCTACAGCACCAACACCCAGGAGCTGACCACCAACGCCAACGACTCCATCCTCTCCGAGGAGGCCGACTCCATCGACCCGTTCGTCGAGTACGTGCTGCTGGGCGACTCGATCAGCGACGGCGTCTTCGGGTGGATCTCCCTCGCCATCGACTCCGACGAGTCGTCCAGCATCACCCCCGCCGCTTATTATACGGCCGATGGGGGCGTGGAGAATGATTCTTCGTCCGGTGGGGGTTCCGGTTCCGGTAGTGGAAGCGCGCCTGGGGGGCAGAGTTCGGGGGCGCCCGGTCAGGGACAGGGTGGTCGGCCTTGAGTAGATGGTAGGGATTGGGGTTTGGGGTCGGGGATGACGGGTTTGGAGAGGATGTAGTCTTTTGTAGGTTGTGGGTGTGGTTTGGTTGGGTTTGAGGAGGGGAGGGGAAGATGCTGGTAGCTGGGGCTTGATTTGAGGGTTGTTGTTGCTGTTTTTCACTTCGCTTCGTTTGCTCCCTTCGTCTGTTTTCGATATGGATGATTGAGATTTTTAAATATATCATATCTTTTGGAAGTATTCTCACATTCGGTAGGGTGGGCTGCACATCATGCTGCTGCTACGTATACATCACCAGACTGCGAGGTAAAGGTGCCTCCACGGTCAAGTCGCTCGCTGCGCCAGGGAAAGTGCACTGCGCCCAAGCACAAGTCGACCAATCTGATCGCAGGCCAGTCTCCCACCCTTTTTTCCGTCAGGATATCTAGGACGAAGTGCTGTACAGTAGGTCTCTTCGCCTGGTACACCAGAGAGCCTGCCATTAAACGTGTTTGTATTATTGTGTGAGTCGATTTCCGTGAACTGGATGATGACGGACGTTGTGATGCAAGCAAACTCAACGTAATAATACCATCAGTAGCCGAGATCCGACCCTGTCACTCACTAGTCGAGTGTTTGATGAGGCGATAATTATATCGGGGATCAGGAGAGACCAAACCACAGCACCGCAGGGCGCTATGGGACTTGTTCAACACCAGAAACCGGTTTTGAGCCCTAAGCATGTGAGCTGACGTATCGGTGTACATGTGCTTGAAGTCCAGCTACAGATTGGCAAATCCCGTTGCGGCGATCGGCCTTCGGATAGCTTAGCCGAGTGGACGCTCTCAACACTTTGGGTTTTGAGTTAAGGGGAAAGTGTCCGACGTGAGGGGAGAGACTAACAAGCACTGAGGTTTCCACCGGGAGGGCAACGGCTGGGAGCCACGGTTAGGGCGGAAGGGTGACAGCTTTTGGGGGGTGGACCTCCGGTTTGTTGAATTCAGAATTTGTGGTGAATGCTTGGGTCAATCGAGGGTTCCATATGCTTGTGCCTATACCATCACTTGCGGTTTTCGACCGCTTGGAGTAAGGAGGGAGGGGGTGGATGCATGTAAAGAACCTCTGGTTGAAGGTAAGCTTCCTTGGCATTTTCAAACTTCAGATACATGATCCAATTCCAGTTCCAGTTCGAAGGAAAGAGCGATCGTCGAACATTTGCAATTATAGCCAATTACAAAAACAAGGGACGAAAACACTTATCACCCAGTTCGTCAGCTAGCCAAAGTATCCTTGGGAATACCGTGATGCACGAGGTATTTTTCTGACGTTTTGGTCAAAAAGAAAATCCTACTCCTATCTCCCTTCTGCTGTAAAGTGGTAGATAATATCCAGAAAGCTAACGAGAAGGCCCAACCAAGTGGGTAATGAGGTCCGTGAAGAGATTATGCAACAGGCCGACACATCAATACAGAAGTTCGAATATCCAAACCCAAATATGCGAATAAAAGCCCCGGTTGGATACTACTCACCCCCATACAGTACATGCACAGATGAAGTCGGGGTGACAGGACCATCACCCGTGCGGATGACGACCTTGACCTGTAGCGCGCGCGCCTCCCGGATACAGCACGAGAGACACGTCCGCCCCGCGCGACCCACGATAGCATGATACCCCACCGAGGCGCACCACGCGCGGGCAAAAGCCTCCTTCTCCCGGGAGCCGCGCGCGTCCAGGATCATGGTCTCCTCCGGGTCGAAGGCCGATCGAATGCGGTCCGACGCCGCGAGTTCCTCCGCCAGGGAGGGAAGGTGGACCCAGCGGTACGCGTAGCGGCAATGCAGCGGGTGGCCCGGGAGACGGTGGTGACGGTGGCGGTCAGGCGAGGCGCTGAACGGGGACGATGATCGCTGATTGGGTTGATTGCTACTGCTGTCGCTACTACTGCTCGCGACGTTCGGAGCGTGGGGATTGGTGATCATGCCGCCAGGCGGGCGGCATTCATGGGAGGAGATGAACTGTACGTTGTACTTCAATGGGAACGAGAGTTGTGTGGCGGGGGCCGCTGTGTCAGAGGAAAGTGAAAAGCGCGCAGTTGCCTGCTCGACCACTGTGATCGGATGCTCAGCGGCCGGGGGTTGCTGGGCCTTGACCTGGAATGACAGCTCTTGGAAGGCGACTCTCAGTTTCATAGAGCAGTCGCTTTGGTCGTCGAGGGGCAAGCTGAAGGCGCCGCTGCTCAAGTCCCCGGGGCCCAGGGGTGTGGATTCCAGGGCCAGCTTGGATCCCTGCTTGATCCTCGGTTTTCCAGGTCTGTTCTGCGGGTCTTTGGCTTCAACCTCGAACCAAGTATTGACCAGAGGTTGAGAGGTCGACGAGTCTGTGGGCAGAATCGGGCTGGCTTGCCATGCCAAGCATGCTTTGGTCCCTTCCAAACAAGCCACCACTCTGCCAACGATGCATTCTTTGCTCCACCAGCTCCGTCCGTCGTAAGCAAAGCCACCGTAAAGATTGACAACCGGCCCCAATTTGGCCATGGCGTCGGGATCATTTTCCAAGATGGTACTGATGAGTAAGTGGCTGATGGAGGAGCCGGGGATCACAAAACCCGACAGCCAGCTTCTGGTGGCCCAACCGCCAAGATGATTACGATTGCTGTCATCACCCTTATGGTGTAGAAGCAAGAGACGCCGAGAAAAGTTTCTGCTATACATGGCTTTCCGCAAGTCGGGTATCTGGTACCCTGCTGGGAGAGTATTGAGCTCTGGGTTGGTAAAGACGTCCTTGATGATTTGGCCATTTTGGTCTCCACCAATCTTTGACCTAAGGGTTTCCTTGAAATCATCCAAGCGCGGCCAGCCTAGGTTGTCGGCGAAGACAAAAAGCCCTTTGAGTTGCTGCATCACATGATTGGGCAGCAGATGACATCTCCACGCTGACTCATTGTGAGGGGTGGCCGAAGACGAATGGTGAGTGATGCTCGAGAAGAAAGACCGATGATGATGTTTTTCGTGTGAATGACCGACTTCCTCGTGGCTTTCTGGACCGGGGCTGCCAGGCTCGAGCTGATAATCAAGATCGAAGCTGTCCATGAATCGCCGTACGACGACCAGATCCCAGTTCAGCTTACCGTTTCGCAACCGGTCGAACTCATAGATATCGCGTAGCGAGATGTTAATGTCCTGCGATTCTTGGAGCATCCCGACGCGGACAGTCGCGTCCAAACGCAGCAGAAGCTCGGCAGCAAGCAGCATCTGGACCAGAAACCACTTGCGCTCGAGAGTCGTATGCACCCATGGCTTATCCGACACCGAAATGTCGATGAAGTCGCCGTCCATGTGCGGTGATTGCTCCCAGAGCAGCTGGCCAATGTGCAGTCGCCAGTCGATGAGACTGAAGTCCAGCCATGCCCCAGGGGTGGCCAGCACGACAGTCAAAGCCTTGATCTGGACCTTTAGGCTGTGCGGATCGCCCATGTCGGCAATCAGAAAACGCACTGGCGGGTAGAGGAATTTGGTGAACAGTTCATTATAGAGCTCACGTGTCCCTTCGATGTCAAGTATCGTCTTCGGTCGATCCCCATGGAGAATCTCGTAGCGCAGATGCTTCAGTGTCTGCAATCGCTGCACTAAGACCTGTAGATCAATGTCACGGACACCGATTTTCTTCCAAAAGTTCGGCCCCTCGCGCAATAGTTTCTTGCGATCGTGGACAGTACCATCCGAACAAAGGGCGTATGGCTGGCCGTAACGCTCCAACAACTCGAACGACTCGGTTGCTGGCAGGCTCGATAAATGTAAGTAGTCTGGCGAAGGCCTTGGTACCCCCGGGCCCGGATAGCGGGCCGCGTCGGCCACGGGAAGCTCCAGGAAATAGCGGAACCCGACCGTCCCAGGATCCCGCCCATGCATCGCCAGCATATTGGGGATTTCCTGTACTCCCACGTCGAATGTGGCTCGCTTGGGCGCATCGCTTCGTTTCCAGTTACCCAGATGGGCCGGGACATCGCCCTCAATGACCCAGTCATCCGGCACCGGAAGGTGCGCATGCAAAGTGCATAGGGTGTATGAGGCATGGGGGAGAGGCCTCCTATCCCAGAAGCATTGAATGACCGGGTCGTGATCGTCGAATGGAAATATGACCTGCGGGAACCAGCGGTCATGCTTTCCTTTCTCCAGCATGAAATACGGGGCCCCTGAGAAGATGACCTCCACATCCTTCATCGTCAGATGGTGTTTATGCGGCGGTGGCGCATGGTGGCCTGGTTTCGGCGAATGGCCAGGCTTGTGATCTGGGCTTGGGGGGTTTTCGGCCGAAGACTCGTGTACCCCACTGTCATGGCGGGTGTGAGAGCTTGCAGGGGCATCTTCCGACGTCTGTGATGGTGGACTATCTGTCTACATCAGTGTTAATCACGCGGATCGTATAAAACTAAGCTAGAGCACATTCGAGCTAGAACCTTACCCGACGCGGGGATCCAGGGTTCGACGGAGAATCAGAATGGGAAGAGCCGTGGTGTTTGTGGAAGATCTCATGGAGCACGCCTTTGGCACGGAGACCGTGGCTATGATCCGAGATATCCGGAGCCGATGATCTTCGCCCACCGTTGCCCCGCGGGACTGCATCTCCCTCGTTCGGCGCGGTGGAGGCGATGGAATGTCGTCGTCCAAAGATGAAAGACATTGCAAATGTATGTATGTATGTATGGATAGGAGGATATAGGATATGAGTTTCTTGCCGTAGCTCAGCAAGTATGCTGCAAGATATCGCTTGTGTGGTGGCTCATGGCGGTCGGGAATCTGAAAGCCGGAATGCGGGTCGCGGCTCAAGAGCGACGGGGTGGGCGGCGCTCACACTGGGTCTTAAATAAACTATCCCCAGCAATCAGACCATTGGTGATCGACAGGAGGAGCCACAGTTCTTAGGCACATCAAATAATGGAAGGGAAAGGAAGATACTCAGTCGCAGTATGGCGCCAGAGAGAAAGAAGAAAGTGAGGAAAGACGGAAAGACGGAAATGGGTCGATGACGTCGTCATTGGATTTGCTCCCCGCTCCGGTTCCCTCTAACCTATTTGGGATAGCTCATTTATCTACCTACTGACAAGAAGGTTGTCACTGTAGCTATAGTGGGGAGTGCAGTACAGTCCCTTTCTTAGTTCTTGACTCATGCAATACGATAGAGTACTTAGGAAGTACAACGTATACAGACCATCTCAGAATACTCAACATCAAACTCGAGACATCCATGCCAAAAGTGCTCACATAGAGCGAACCATGACCTTGGCTGATCAATAGACGAACGACCCAATCTACTTCTGGCGTCTGGAAGATGAAAACGCATACCTGGGCCATTGGTACCCAGCATCTTCCATCTGGACGTATGACAACATGACCTTATGACCTTCTCCTATGCGAATGCAGAACAGGGAGGTTGACTTATTTGTCTTTTTACAATAAATCATAATCAAGTCGTTGCACCAGCCCGCATCTAACCAAGGCTAGAGAAATAGATATATGATGCATCGCAAAGCCCTGCTCTTCGCCGGCCCCGACCACCCTCTGACCCAGAGACTCCAAACGGGTTGGGAAATGGACCCCAACAAGCTACGTGGGTCGCCAGATCCCCGGTTGCGAAGAGACAGTCTAGGAGGCAGAGCGGTGCGTGATTGTGGCGGAGGGTACCTATTTCAAATTCACCCAAAATCCCGACCTTGCCGCGCAGTTACCCGCTACGGTGGGACACGAGAGATTGTCGAGGCAAGTCCCAGCAATCGAATCTGGGGGGTGGGGTTTGGGCGCGAGTGTACGGGAATGTGGGCGGGAAGAGTGGAGATTGAATCTGCTGGGGCAGGCGTTGATGGATGCTAGGGGGAGGTTGAGGGGGAGAGGGGTTAAGGTACGGTTTTCGAATTGCCTTCATGGTGAGAGCATCATGGCCTTAATCAACACATGTCGAATCGGAAATCATCCGTCGAGACTGTTGACCCATGCGGATGTGCTCCGTCCACCCTCGGGTATAGGGCAGATGCGTATCACGAGACACGGATACGACCCGTTGCAATGCGGGCGTACCCCAAGAAACAGGATAGAGCGAGAAGAGCAGAGAACAACAGTACACAGAATCAACTCTCCACAGGAGAGGACATCATTTGACTAGCGTTGCTACCAAACATCAACACAACCAGGGCCATGTCTCTCCAATCCCAACCTACCATACCAACCACCATTCAGGCCACCGAATGGACGAGCCTGCCCTCACAATACCGCCGCCCCGGCGGGCAATCCGAGCATAGTCTGCACCAAAAGCGCGGCCACCCGCTCGACTCCTTCCTCGAAGGGCCCCTCTACATCCCCTCGCTGGGTCGCTTGTTCGTCGTCGACATCCCCTACGGCCGGATCTTCTCGATCAACGTCGAAACCCGGGAATGGAGGCTCGTCCTCGCCTACGACGGCGAGCCCAACGGCCTGGCCTACCACCATCCAACGAACCGCATCCTCATCGCCGACTTCAAGCAAGGCATCCTCGCCTTCGACCCGACCGCACATCCCGACCCCAATGACCCTCCAACGCCACTGGTCACGCGCTGTCACGGCGAAAGGCTCAAGGGCCCCAACGATCTGGTGGTCACCTCCACCGGCACGGTCTATTTTACCGACCAAGGCATGACGGGCTTGCATGATCCGACGGGTCGGGTGTTTCGGTTCGATCTTCCCCCAGACAATCGCATTCACAGCGCAAACCAGCAGCATGTCAAGCTAGAGTGTGTGCTGGGCAACGGCCCCTCCCCCAACGGACTGGTGATGAGCCGCGATGAATCCGCCGTCTTCGTCGCCATGACCCGCGACAACGGGGTTTGGTACGTCCCGTTCCATCCGGATGGGAGCGTGCAGCGCGTGGGCCGGTTCGCCAGCTACTATGGGATTGGCGGGCCGGATGGCATGGCAATGGATGTGGTGGGGAATATCTTTGTCGTACATTCCACATTAGGGGTGGTGTTTGTGCATCGGCCGGATGGGGAGGTGGGCTGGCGGATTCGGTGGGATGCGGGCGCAGGGAAGAAGATGACGAATTTGACATTCGGGGGACCCGAGGGAAAGACGTTGTTCCTGGTTGAGAGTGAGACGGGCACTGTTTTGGTGGTGGAGTGGTTTTGGCAAGGGATTCTGACTGGGAATGACGAGGGGGAGAAGTAGGACTTTTGATAGTGATAGTGTATATATGCATACGAGGAAAGTTGGATAGATAGTGATATAGAGTTTTGTGACGATCATCCAAGAACTAGTATCGTAAGATAGATTCATTCTGTTGACGCGATGAGCTCGCACGAGCTTCTTCTGATACACCCCAACGAGGTCTAGACTATCTACATCTTATGGTATTTTGGACCTCAAGCAAATTCCCGCTGCTCCTCAGTCGTCCCCTCTGCCTCAACCGCCTTCTCTCGATCATTATCCACCCGCGCCGATGGACTACTTTGCTGAGGTAACCGCCGGGCCATGGGCACGATCTCCCAGATGGTAGGCGCCTCCCGGAATACCCCGTCGATCAGCTCTAGGTCGCGGTTCATCGTCTCAGGGAAGAAGAGCAGCACGATCACGGGCACGCATGCACAGGTGCAGGCAAACACAATGTAGTACCGCCAGCCAATTGTGCTCAGCGCCACGGGGGTGACCATCGTGATGATGAAGTTCCACATCCAATGGTTGGCGGTCGAGATGGACGACATGACTGCGCGCAGGGGCGCGGGCGCTATCTCCGTACAATAGAGGAAGTTGCCGCCCAGGAACCCAATGGGATACGCCATGTTGAAGAGGAAGATGAAGACAGCCGCCGTGACCGAGGCAGCATGGTTGGACGCCGGAAAGCTGGTGGCCACCGCCATGGCGATCATGCAGAGACACATGCCCGTCCCGCTGGTCACCAGGATCCAGCGGCGACCCAGCCGGTCGACGGCGGCGAAGGAGAGGAAAGAGCACAGGAACTTCCAGGTCAGGGCACTCGCAGCCACAATGGCCGGAGTGTCGCCCTGTAGGTGCAGGTTGTCTTGGAAAATGGTTGTTGTGTATATCGAGATCATGTTGCCGCCCACCAGCTGCTGTAGGGTCTGGATACCGAGGCACAGGGCGAAGCGGTAGCCGAGTCGGTGCGGGTCGTTCTTCCGGAAGACATCCCGCAAGGAGATCGTAGGCCCTGTCGAGAGAGAAGCGTTAATCCGAGAGACTTCGCGGCGAATCAGGTCGTGGTCGCTGGGCATGTCGTTGAGCGCGGCGAGGGCTTCGGTGGCGGCTGAGATCCGTCCGCGCTGGACCAGCCAGCGGGGCGATTCCGGCAAGGTGAAGATAGAGAAGCAGATCACTAGTGAGAAGACGACTGGGATAGCGAGCGGGATCCGCCACTGGAGGGGGGGCGAGGCAATCTTGCTACATCCCAGATTGATCCAGCTGGACAAGAAAAATCCCACACAGATGAAGATGCCTGAAGTGATGACTTGACGCCCCCGTTTCCCCGCAGAAGAACTTTCAGCCTGCCACACCGGCACGATGACACTCAACTGGCCCACCCCGAATCCCAGGATGATGCGTCCCACGGTGAACTGGGCCAAGGAGAAGGCCGTGCACTGGAGAATTTGACCTACCGCAGCACAGCAGCCTCCAACGAAGATAGTCTTGCGTCGACCGAGCTTATCGCCGACAATGGAGCATGACAATGCCCCTAGTAGGGCCCCTAACATCAAAGTCCCATTGATCAGCCCTTTGATGGTGGAATTCTGTGCCTCTTGAGCTCCGTCGGTGTTGACCGTGTCGATTTGTGGGAAGAGACGGATCACATCCGAGAGGGTGAGGAGGGCAGAGAGCCCAGCCTGGTTGTATCCGTAGAGTATAAAGGCGGGGGCAATTACGAAGATTCTCTGAGCAAGCTGGAGACTTTTGGCCGAGGAATACATTTCGATGATCAGGTAGCGAGTGCGAGAGCCGGATTTGGGATAGGAATATGAAGATACAAGGCTGCGGTTTGAAAGACGGGTGGATGGGAAACAGGGATGTTAAGACCTCTTGGACAGTTCAGTCCGCCAGCTTAGTGCTGGAGCATGACCTCATGCAACTTGATCTATGCGAGTATAAGCTGACCTGTTAGCTTGTGGAAACCCGGGGTCCTCGCCTCCTTTGACGAGCGGATACATCCCGACAATCCTTGCGGGAGCTAGGTCCAGTGGCAATCAGCGGTGTAAGAGGGGAGTGCTTTTGACATGAAGCAAAGATGTGATATGATTCGTCCGGGTCAAGGGATAAGCTGATATAAAGGTGATTTATTCAATGATCGGAAAGTAGGTGCGCTCATTGGTTTCGCCAAACGCTGGTTTTGGAGTGGATGATTGCATGATGGTCGACGAAACCCTCTGCGTCCATGCTTCTTGTGTAGCTGTCGAAAGTTCTCGATGGCCCTTCAGGGGAGACCAGTGAGAAGATTCGTCGTGTCAATCATGTTAGTAGACAGCCGTTATTCACAATACTTTTTTCGTGCCACTGCAGCTGTCCGAAATACCGATGCAGCCTCTGCCCTAGCGTAAAATAGCCCTGGTCATGATTTGCTTTCACAATATCAAGGGGCTTGGAATTCCGCCTGGATTGTAGGAGCTTCTTTTTGATCTTTTGTTAGGCTATACACACGCGAAGTATACTGCTCTGGTATGTAACCTACTCTAACATCCAGGAAATACACTCCTCGCTCAGCTAGATGATAAGTTGACACAAGTTCACTTGGTGATGAATCAATAGCGATACTTAGGTATAAAAATCATGATTTGAGATTCAAATCTGTGAGCAGAAGTTATTGATCTCAAGATTGTAAGTTCTAGCAATTTCTAAATATTTGGTTTTACTGTGATTCAGCTGCCTTAGGGGGATAGATATTGTGGGGTACCTGTACGAGAGTTCCGTGCCATCGTAGCAGAATCAGTGCAAGTAGTCTTCGGTTTTCGTATTTTCTTCATCCGAAGCTTTCTCAGGAGTATTTAGGTCTAGACCGACCAAGGTGCTTTCGGGTGGGAGCATGCAAAAAAAGTCTACTCTAGAAAGAACCCGACAGGAATCAGAATCCTGTAGAGCAGGACCATCTGCTCGATTGAAACGCTCTCATCAGAACTACCATGTGGGACGCTAACCCCGAGGCTTCGTCAAGCCCCAGGATACTGAGTGAGATGGCCAAATTGTGTTGCATTGATAAAAGGTAGATGTCTTGGTCAGACACAATGCTGCTACAAGTCTCGCACCTACTCTTGCTACAGTCAACATTCGAAGAACGGGCCTAGAGTCAGAGTCAGTCGACAAGTGCATGTGAGAGATTCTCAATCATAAGCCTGAAGGCTTCTTACTGCTCCTGACCTGTCATGGTCATTAGAGCTATAGTTTTGCTTTCCAAGTATTAGCGAGGAGATGAGATCTATAATATAGTAATAGTATCTAGTGGGTTGTGGAGTGATGGAATGTGAATTTTGTATATCTGAAATATCATTTCTTTTTTCTTTTTATTTTTTCTTGTTTTCTTTTGTTTTCTTTTGTTTTTGCTTTTTCTGCTTTTTTTTCTTTTTTCCCCCCAAGAGGCTCATACTCCCGAGACGACAGATTGCATGATTCGAGCCGCTTTCTTGACCAAGTCCCGATCATGGTATGACAAGAGCGTATGGACAATCATGTAGACAACGTCGTCCGTGTGACCAACTCGCTCTGACTCCTTGCGTACCGCTGGAAACTCCGTCCAGATCCTGGTGCAAATCTCGATCGAGGAATTGTGATATTGCAGCCAGGCATCCTCATTTAGGACGGCGATTTCCGCATTGACACACTTGCGCAGGCGTCTCAATGCGTCAACCATAGTCAGCTTCGGCTCGGCCCCCTGGCGGATGGTAGACTTCACAAACTTCTGGCACAGCTTAGACTCACGCATAACGCGCGTGATCTCGTCCGCGGTCCACTTGTGCCTCCTCCCTAGCCAGCGGATTTGGACTTCCCGAAGTGTGGTAATGAGCATCGGGAATTCCCATCGCTTGGCCAGATCGATATCTTCCATCTGTCCCACGATGCCGCTTCGGGCGTTTCGTCTGGCGCCTCTTCTCGCGCCTCCTCTAGAGTCTGTTCTTTCAGACTCGACTCCGCCTAGAGCCCGGGCCAGCGAGTTGGAATAGCTGTACCAGGCCTTCGGCCGTTGCTGGCCACAGAACATGTCCGGGTGGCGGCTTATCAAGCGCTCCAACCCGGGCCACGACCATCCATCCGGCAGCAGCTTTTCCCGCTTTGCTGCGTGGTAAAGATGGCATACTGCGAGTGGAGCTGGCGCAGAATTGGACCAGTACAAGCCATCACAGTAGGCGATGATCTTGTAGATCATCAACAGCCGTCCGCACAGCCAGGGATTTGAGCGGAACCAAGAGACGCGGCGATGCGAGGGAACGCAGTCACGCGAGTTGAGCCGGGCGGATGTGGTAGGGGAGTCCGCGCCGTCGTCGTCTAACACAATCTCCGCCTGTTGCAGCCAATATGTGTGACCATACAGTATTTTGCGGAGTGACTCATCGACATTCTCGAGATACGAGTACCGCTGACGGGCTTGACTCATGTGCGGCCTCGTGGCCATCATGAAGTCACGGAGCTCAGGCCATGCCTTGTCACCCTCCGACCCCATGGTCAGTCGCATCTTGATGTAGAACATGATGAGATATAGCGCTGTCAACGAAGGGGTCCCAGTCCTAAACGCGTGGCACAGATAGATCCCACACAAGTCCGCATCTGGCAGCGAGCGTGCCCCAGGGGTAGCCAAGAATACCTGATTCTGGACTAACGCCTCGTCGAGGAGCAACTGCAGGAGCAGGCGCCGGTCGTCTGAGTCCCAGTCATAGGTTGGTACCGGGACGCGAAGAAGGTCCGAAAGAGCCTTGCCTTGCCTAGCATACAAAGCAGCCGAGAGCGACTCCAAGATGTGGATAAGGTCTTGGAGGAAGTGGGGAAACCCTGAGTTGTCGCCCTGGGTTTCTCCTTTTCCTTGCGCCTTCTGGCGCACCTCGCAGATCTGGTACAGCGCATTTACCCAACCGTCCGGGCAATTCTCAACGCCGCCAGCCACCCGGAGCTCTTGCTCGGTGTCGAAGAAGAGGTGGTGAGCCATCTCAGTCGCCAGCGTTGCGGCCTCGAGCGTCATCCGTCCCTCCCGATACGCCTGCCACGACTCCTGCACGTGATGCGTCACCAAGAACAGGTCCTCCAGCAACATCTCCAGCGCATATATGGGAGACGGGGTAATCGCCTCCTCCTCCGCGATCTTGCAGTTCACCGCAACGATTGGCGGAGCTTGAGGGGTGCCAGCTGCTGCGTGGCGGTCCGGAGCCTCGTCCGCGACATCTTCGACCGTCAAAGCCTCGAATCGGTTCACCAGCGCCGCCGCTACGGCGTCGACATCATCCTCTTCCGTCGCTTGACCCGCCTTTGACCGGAACTCTTTGGGCAAGATGGGTCTGAGGACTTTCTCGACGTTCTCCAGCACGCCGATGAAATGTGCGTGGCTGGCGTTTGAGTCGGCGTCGCCGCCGCCGTGCTCATAGTGCCGCAGCTGGTACCGGCGGCGCACGATTGAACGCCGCAGTTTGATAGCCACCAGCCGCGGCACCTCCTTGACGTGTCGGCTGGCGACAATTGCCGTCGCCCGCTCTACAAACTCGTTCAAGGTTAGAGTATATTCTTGTGAGTCTTGGGGAGGTGCTGCGTTACCTGCCTCTGCCTCCTCCCTGGCGGCCCTGCGCGCCCTGCCCTTCAATCGGCCGGGCCCCTTGGGCCCCTTGAAGTCCGGGTGGGCGGTCAGTAGCCATGCGGCAACGTCGTTGGTGTCCTGCTTGTACTGTGCGTACTGGCTAATGTGGGTTGGAACAGACATCTTGTCGGTTAGCGTTTTAGTTTTTGTGTGTGTGTGTGTGTGTGTGTGTGTGTGTTTGAGCGTGTTTGTATCAATCAAGATTGAACAAGACTCGTGTGTGTTGTGTCAGAATCACTCTCTCGTCGTAGTTTGATGACCTATATATACTTCTCGATAGGGGTCTAGAGTCGCTCCATTCTGACCCTCCGGAATGGGCCTTTTCTGTATCCTCGTTTGTAGTCCTTTTTTCCAAGTCAAATCAGTGCGTTGTATTCCAAAGGGGTAGTACAAAGCACAGCAGAAACTTCTCTGTTCCCTATTTTCCATCAGAGTCACATTGTTCTCTTGAGGTAGATTTTCGCGGAGCAGCATTGTTTCCGCGAAGCACCATTGTTAGCAGGGCAAGAAGTCCCATGGAACCCGGTTTGATGAACGGCATCACGCGAAGCCGCTACACCCACATCCAGTCCAGTTACCCGCCCAGTATCCGGCTCCTCAAGGCCTCCAGAGGGTGATTTTGGTCATGGATGATAGTTCAATTGATGGGGCACTGCCATTTTTACCTGGATGAGTTAGCTCATGCTATTCTAGACACTTGACGACAATCGGATTGCACTGAGAACACGAGGGAGTGGTATCTTAAAACTCACTACCCCCACAGCCCTGTCGTTAGGGCCGCAGAATACTCATCATGACTCCCTCACAAGACAGCCTTCAAACAACATGCTGTGTACTCCCAACAGGCCTAACAACAATATGAAACCATTATGATCACTCAATTCCAACACTAGCCACCAACTCCCGCAGCTCCTCCTCCGTCAACCTCCTCAACCCCAGCAACTCATTCGCGAGCTTCTGCTCGTCAAACAGACTCCCATATCCCTCTCCAAACAGCGACCGACGGATCAAATTGACCGCCACGATGCCAGGATGAGGCTGAGGTTTGGTCAACTCCGCGCGTCCAATCCGCTCCAGCTCCTCGGTAGCGACGACCTTGGTCTCCAGCGTCTTCCCGGAGAGCGCAATCAACTGCTTCTGCGTGACGTCCGCCTCGCTCACATACAACGCAGCATTCCTCGTGGCCTCGAGATTCTTCACAATCCCGACGACCGCCCGCCCGATGCCCGGCAACGTGGTGCCGCTGACCTTCTGGTCCCCGCCGTCGTAGAGCTCCGCGACCGGGCCCGCGAGATTCACCAGGAACCCGGAGCGCAGGCCCAGATCCAGGAACGGGCCCGTGAACAGCAGACTGTAGCTCAGCGGGGAGGTCCGGGCGACCTGCTCGAGGTACTTGCGCGAGGCGACCTTGTTGGCGAAGACGGGTAGGGCTTCGTTGAGCGGGTTGAGCGTGTCCGTGCCGAACTCGGAGGGGATGAAGCGGGTGACGCCCGCCGCGATCGCCGCGTCGATCAGCCGGATCGTCGACTCGCTGGGGAGGATGGCCCGGGAGTCGACCACGACGTCCTGTCCCTGCAGGGCGGTCTGCAGGGATTCGCGCGAGTCGTAGTCGACGGGGATGACTTTGACTTGGTTGCTGTCGATGGTCTTGTTGCTGTCCTGGCGGGTGAGGACTGTGACTTCGATTCCGGCGTCAATGAGTGCCTGCACGATGCTGGGGCCGAGGTTGCCGCTTGCCTGCGGTTGTTCTGTTGTTAGTTGTGTGTGGTGTCTGAGGTGGGGTTTCTGGGTGTTAAGAGGACGTACCCCGGCAATGGCTACTTTGGGAGAGGACATTGTGCTAGACGAAGAGTTATGATATGTGGGATGATCAGGAGTGATAGATGGTGTGGAACACTGAGGTGTTGAGTGAATTTATAAGGGGCCGATGAGGGGCTGAGGGTGCTTTACTGACGTATCACGACGGATGGCGGTACCCCGCGTTTGATGGTGCGATTGCGTTTGCGAGCTGCAGGCTTGGTAAGCAGGTCCCTACAGCGCTTAAATTGTAGTCGCAATCGATCATCTCAAAATACACAAGAAATGGCGGAGATGAGCAATGCTTAGAAGAGCTAGCGGAACTGTTCCGGATGGCCGATCTAAGTTACTGTACAACGGCAGTTGTGTTGTTGGAAGAGCCCGAGAGGTAGAGGTAGTGAACGTCGGTGACCTCTGATAAATCCCTGATTCTTGAGGCTATATAGACAAGCTATTGCAGGTGTTGGGGTCTGATGTCAATCCTTTACATTTGTATATTATGGAAGAAAAGGAGGTTCAGATGACACCTGGCTACACTTTGCTTACAAGCATAACGTTTTGTCTGGGATATAGATGTTGGGAACCCAGTTGGTCTTTTGAGATAACCGAGTAGTAACATAAACTAATTATGCCTGATTGCTAACATACAGATAAATGGGCAAGAAAGAGTCAATTATACATCAGTCTACAGTTGTGTAATCTTTGTTTCAAGGCATATATAAGCATGAGCATCCTAGGTCTGGGCTGAACAACATGAGTCTTACTTGTATGTTTCAAAAGGCTTTGGGGGCGCTAGTAATGTATACACGATACAAAAACCACGTACATTACATGATACACACCGCCTGCTCTATTATACATAAACGTTGCACATTTCCACCACCAACACGTGACCGTGCTGTAACTAATCTGCTGTTTTACCAATAAATAAGGTTATTAAGATGTGTACAATTACCAAGTGGTATTGAAACACCTGCATACATGCTAAGTCAGTAATGTAGCTTCCACCGGGCTATGCGCCATCTGTTCTTCTCAGAAAACAAGTGGCGCCACGATCAGGCAACCGTGGTGGCTGATGTGGCTGATGTGGCTGGTGGTCTGCGATGCTAAATTTAGCAGTTGACGGTGATGCCAGCTCACCACGCCAAGACATTAAGATGGAGACAGGGTTCGAATCTGAAACTTTTCCTCAAGAATGATAATCGATAGTCTAGGCTATGGCACCAATGATGGGTGAATCAAAGTCCCGTTACCCCACCTCCTCCCCGCCGTGCTTTCCTACCCTTGCGGTGATCAACAAGAGACCTTCTAGAATACGATCCCACTAAATTCATTTACTAGCCGGCCATACGTGTGCGGCTGCAGCTGCCAACTCGCAGCAGCTATGTAAGTGGCGGTAGTAGCCACAATCAAGCCCTCTGATTTCTGCATCAAGCTCCATCCGTAAGCAGGCAGCTTCTCTCTCCCCCACAGCTCCCTATCTGCCGTGCGCCTGTGAGGCGAGGCGAAGCGATAGACACCCCTCTGCCCCACTTGACTCGCATCCGTACAGCCACTATGAGGCAAGCCTGCCACTTCGCGTCTTGGCCGACGTCTATCCCGAGGCTTGGTGGGTAGGGCAGCAATGCGGGCGGTGATGAAGGGGAAGAGCTATGGAGCTACAGAGCTACGTATATAAACAACAACCCCACATCCCACCCCTCCTCCGTTTTCCCTTTCACAACACACCTTCGTCTTCACACCGTCTTTCTCCATCACTTTTCTCAACTCCTCCACAACCCATCTCACATCCACCATGTCTTTCCACACCTCCTGCCAGGACATCCACATCGTCCACGAGGATGGCAGCACCATGCTGTGCTGCGTTGCCCGCGACAGACACGGCGAATTCCACCCCCGCAAGATTCGTCTCGACCAGCACATTGGTAACACGGATGGTAGGCCTACACTGCTCCCTTATTCTTATCGGTCATTTGCTAATATGTTATCAAATTAATTAGGCTGGTTCATTTGGGGCGGTGAGAACTTCACCGAATCCGCGAGCGATGTCCGCCTCGAAATGACCGAGTACGGCCCCAAGCTCGTCGCCAACCTACTCACCCGCGATGGTGGCTCCCGGGGTCTTCAGGGCATCATGCTGTCCGACAAAATCGCCAACGAGGATGGACGCTTGAGATTCTTGGTGGGTTGAGCCTTCTACCTGGGTGATTCTGCACACACTGGACTGAAGACTAATGAATATCCGTCTCGATAGGGTGCCTGAGTCATCATTTGAAGTCACTACATTTTAGCATAGGGATATGGTGTTCTGTTATTATGGTTGAAAATAGTTCGAGCCGATCGCATAGCTTGAAATCAATGTACCAACTTTTCGTCTTGATGCTCGCTCTTACCAGGGTTGAACCGGGGCCGCCCAACCCCTCGCCCAACTATAATTAGGTTGATCGATTGGTGCTTGGCAAACGTCGATATATCAGGACCCCCCGGGGGGGGGGCTTGAATCAAGTACTCCCACTTCCCTTCGATGCGATGTAGACATGCCGATCGAATGATTGCTCTATTGAGTTTACCCTTGTCTCCAAGTGAAATTATCTCTGCGCGGGTCTTTCTGAAACGCTATAAGACCCAGTCGAAGGGTGCGGCGCGAGTGACGGCTTCAGCTTGGTCTGTAACACGTTCACTGTCAACTAGAACTCTACTGGTACTCGTCTCAGTTTGCTTACCAGTTTCCATTCCTAGAGAAACTGTGTTCTTCGTGGGTCGCCATCTCGAGGGCAAAATGTACCAACCGCTCAATTTTGGATGCCTCAAACACCATGGATCTCCAAGCCCTTTGTGCTAAGGATGTAACCCTTTTTCGAAACCTACATAAAGACCTGTAACATAAATTACTAGGGCGTCCGTACACTTCGACGTACGAGATATCCTCAAATTGCGGCCAAGCGGCATGTTTCAGGATCTAGTTTATCATAAGAGATGTAATCTGAGATACCCAGGATAGAGAGCCTAGATTCCACTTCCAGTGACACATTTGACACTAGGAATCCCCAGACACCTGATGGCGACTACAGGCGTTGGAGCAATCTGCAAAACACTCTAGTTACAGAGAGAAAAAAGTCTAACACAGGGCAACCCTTGGGCAACATAGATAAAAGGATTGGCTCTAACAGCTCAATACACCTGGAAGGTGCCAATGAAATTACCTCAGCGCGACAGACGATGCTTATGTTGTCGCAACACAATAGGCAGGCAGCAATAATAGCAATCGGCCTTATGCCTCATACAAAGCATTCAATCTACCTTACAAGTATAAAGCCCAAACACAGCGGCAGAAAACTCATCGGTAGGTCTTTCTTCTGGTTGAAAGGTCATGAACCCCTGCTTCCTATCCTCCCTAGTGACTGCAACATGTATGACATCAACAAACGCGTCAAATCTCTGAAAAAAAGAGTACAGTAATCATCCAGAGCCGAGCGACCACGACTCAACTCACGCAGCGAGAACTTGAAAGATCTATCTGGTGATAAAGCAGATTCAGCAAACACCCATACCTCAACCACTAGAGCATCAGCACAGCCTCCCCTACACAACCAGTCTCTCAAGTCCCGGTAGAGACAGGAGAAGAAAATTAAGGCGCAATGCGGTTCTTCAGTCACCCTCTGCCCTTTCATCTTCAATCCACAGTCTGGACTCTTCTTAGCGGCGGCATCAACACCATACCCCCCGTCAGGCGCTTCTTTCTATCTATTTATCGTCTTACCCAGCGGCGCTTGCTCACTCAAAAGTCAAACGGGCAATCGTTCGCTAAGAAGCATTTCTCATCGAAGCCGCAGCAGGTGGAGACTGGTGGACTGATATCCACCAGATCTTCAGCCCTCAACTTTCTTGAACCAAAGCGGCCTACAACAATTACCTTCAAAGCCCTTGGTACTGGAACTAGTTGGCGAATACTTCGGCTTCTTCAATGAGGCTTCTGGATCGGCAATTCTCCTGTAACCCAGACCATAGTCCCTCGTGGTAGGGCGCATTGAATGTGGTCCTTGCTTTTGCATACCGACATCGCGCGGAGAAAGCCGGCGATGGCGGAGATGAATGGCCTCAATGCATGGGCCACATCCGCAATGCCATGAGTGCCACTACAGAGCTCTTTATGCGGACCAGCAATCTTCTCACTGTCCAGACCATAATCGGTCTAGCCTTATTCTTTCAGGACCCACCAGATTCTCAGCCCTTATTCATCTTTACCGCAGCGGCGATACGGTTCGCTCAATCCATCGGTCTGCACATGTCAAACTCCTTCGGTCTTTCTGATCTTCAAGTCGAGGAGCAACAAAGAGTCATCTGGCTTGCTTTCCTTATGGACGCCAACGTCCGCACACGTATGGGCCATCCTGCGGCACAAATTATTCACAATTTCGATACCCCGTTGTCCGCATCCCGTCCCCTGGGCATCATTGAATATCAGGGAGAGAGAGTGCCGTTGTTCTCCATCCTGGCTCAATGTCCACTGATTCAGAGGAGGGCCTATGATCTGCTGTTCACAAAGGAAGCGCTGGAAAAGCCCGTATCAGAGAGAGCACATGCTGCACGGGCATATTTGGAGGAAATCAACTGCTTGAAGGATAGCATTGACCACAGTCTACGACCGCAACGCAGGTTCTCTCCCGAGCAGCATCACCCGTTCCTTCCGCAAATCATGAGACTGCACTTTGCATGCCTACCATACCTGAGATGGGCGGATTGTGCGGGTCTATCTCAGCTAGTGTCTCACTTGATGGAATATCTAATGCGTTTAAGCCAATCTACCAATCCTCGTGGAGAGATATTTAGACAACGGACATCCTCGCCTAGGGGGACATTGCTGGTAACCCCTAGGACAGGCAAAAGGTATCTCAATGAGATCCTTCAAGTGAGAATGCCAGCGAGTCTGCTGTACAGCCCAATCTGCCCTACCGTCAACTCAAAGTTATGGTAGCGCAGTATTAAAGAACAACGGTATAAAATCTCTTGGTTTGGCGTTTTTAGGGTTCTTGGGGGCTGGAGATATCATTGTTAGCGTCAACTCAAAGGAAGTACCAATCATTGTTCCGATAGGAGATTTCCTTGCATTGTTGATTGACTAAAGCATTGGGGTGTTAGTTTTACTTGACTATCATGGCGTATACTACCCCTAATTACGTGTGTAGTATCAAGCATACAGTGAGTGTCGATAACAACTGCTAGAGACCTATTGACAGCAGATAAAGCCTCCGCCCTCCGGCTTCGTCAAATTACCGCGACTATTCTGTAAGCACCTTGGAAAGCGAAAGAAAGGTTCTCTAGGGGAGAATTAAAGTTCATGAGTCACGGAAAGGCTCACTTCCTTGAACTAAAGAAATGGAGACTTTTAGCCCCCCGACAGTGAACAGTAGTGGCTTGGCAATATGCCCCAAACTTTGGACTTTATAAAGCTGTACCATGCAAGGCGGTGAGATAGCGCACATGGATATTTTTCACTTTCCTTTTGATTTCGGTATCAACATAACACACTGCCCGCAACTGTTTTGCAGCGATCGAGCCGGTCGGTATCAACTACATACTTACCCATCTTAGCGGGAGCAGATCGCCGAATTGGATCTCTGGCAGCCCTGCATCTTTGTCTCCGGAGGTACTTCAAAGAACTTGATCCGATCATGTCTCTGCTCCTCAACATCCCGGTAGAGCTGCGGAAGCTCATTATCGAGCATGTGCTCTATACCCCGCTCAGCCCGCCCGTGGCCCCTTGTACATCCGATGCGGTCAGATACCGCGATATGAGTTACAAAGCATGGACCTCGGGAGTGAATTACACGCAGAGGAACAAGCCCAGCTCGTCAGACTGTCTATCTCTTCTTCTCACCAATCACCAATTATCCACCGAGACTCTCCACGTCCTCGAGCACAGCAGAGTTGACTATACCCTCGATATCTCTGTCAAAGATGACTTGGAGCTCTACCTGACGTGGCTTTCCGTGCCCTGTCTCACAACCCATGTCTCGACCCTCTACGCGCACGTGCGTCTGTTCGGTCACATCATCGAGCAGCGCACCGCGCGCTGCCAACTCGGCGATGGCGGCCGGCTAGGCTTCCACTGGTCCTTCTACGCGGCCCTGGAGCGGTTCCTCCGCTATGGTCCCGTGGGGGAGAAGAAGCGCGAAGGCGAGGAGCCTGATGCCGAGTCTTCCGCTCATCGATGTCGCGACGACACGGAGGATTTCCAGGATCGAGGGGTCGCGATCGAAACACTGGTCCTGGACTTCCAGTCGGCAGAGCTGGAACTTTCTTTCCCGCCGGAAGATGTTTCATACAAGCATTGGCGGTGGTGGCATTGCGGTCGAGACATGAGGAGTCCGAGCGCAGGTCTGGAGCCGTTGTCGTCGTACAAAACGCGTCCCCAGTGGCTTTGTCAATATTTGAGGATGGAGATAGGAGGTCTCCTCCAATTGGGCTATCACACTGCAAGGTACGGACAGCCTCTGTACGAGCATATTGGGACCATCCGGATGCTTGTGGACGGGCAGCTGGTTGACGAGCTCGACCTTGCTGCTTGGTTAGCTCGTCTACATTTTACCGATCCAGAGGACACGATGGGTCATCTGGTCAGAGAACAGAGGCTGTATAGCTTTGAGGAATGGAAGCGGGAGACTTGGTCCTTGAGGAAGGAGCGTGGACTGCCTGTGATATGGCCGTCGGATGATGATGAGAATAATTAATCTGTGATCTGGGATTGGGGAGGGGTGAAAGCCGACGGTAGCCTGCTAGGGCAAGCAGGTTTTCTGGGGCGCCAGAAGCACCCAAGAGGGAATCTACCATCGGCACCCGCCGTCCCTCTTGAACCACCCTCGTTGAACCCTAAAAGCAAGGCCATATTCTAAACCTCTCCCCACTAGTAACGAGTCTACTCTTAGACCTTTCATGTAAAAGCAGAACCATTCACAGCCATTTCGGCGTTCCTAAGAGGGTTCCCAAGACAAGCACCTCGGATATTAAAAATAAGAGTCGGCAAATTCCGCGCAGACTGAGACATGGGAGGTGGGCTCACTAATCACCTGCATTAGCAGACGTTCTACGAGGAAACTAAATCCCTAAAGCACCAGAAAGATGCATTAGTTGGCCGGAGCAAGGGCTGTTTGGCTGGCGAAATGGTCAAAAATTGTAGCTGCTGATGCTACCTCATGCATCTCGTATTGCGCATTATCCACAGAGTTCGATGGCTGAGGTTGGGAGTGTCCCGTGGACAGGCTAGATCGGAGAAAGCAAGCTGAATACTCTGATTAGATTCACATATATGTCGCAAGCTATCAAAATTACCTCTTTTGAGCTGCGATCCGGATTGTACGCTGTAGGTGGTTGCACTACACAGGCAGCCCTAGAAACCTGAACCGGAGCAGGTCTCCATGGCATCCATGAATTGCAAAGTGATTTCGTGGGTTGGCAAAGGCAAGCCAGGTGCTGCGGTTGAGTTAAGGGTGAGATTTTAGCGTCAGGACAAAAGTCAACAGCATGCATCTAATACAGCTTTGAGCTTTCAAGGCTAGTCTTCTCAAAGCCAGTAATATCATGCTAGTGGGTGTAACATCTCAGCTACCACACCATACCTGCATAGATCTTTATTGGACCCTGTTATACTCAGCTGATCACCAACCTTTCTATGATAGATACAGCTGCTGGTTGGTTTGCAAGGCTGCATGCACCCGGATAGCCTGATCACCGATCAGTAATCAGCTTGAGTCAGTCAACTCGAGCTCACAACTTCAGGTACAGAAAGACCCCGCACGCCAAGCCAATACTTCAGGTTTCGTCGGGGTCCCCGCTTACCTGAGGTCTGCCCTTGGCTGGAACCTGTCCTCTAAACTCTGTCCCTGACACACAGGGTCTGCGCTTGTCTCACGCAGAGACCAATCTTCAGCTGTGCCAAGCGCGTGGCCCCGCAGAGTATCTGCAGAGTGCATGCTATGCAACCTTGGAGGGGGGCTCTTTTCCTTTCTTTTTCTTCACTTCCTCTCGCACAGGTATAAAATGTGCTGAGTCTCTGCTCGATGGATACGCCTCACTGGTGAAAGGTATTGTACATACATCATGTATATGATGCTGCTCCTAGCGCTGCTGTTCGGCCTCGCCGCCGGGCAAGATGGTATGCCCGCCCCTAGCCCTAATCCAGCTACTCGTATCACAGCTGACTGATTGAGACAGCCACCACCAGCGGCCAATGGCTCATCACCCTCAACACCTCGATCTTCTGGCCTACATCGACAGACTACTTCTACGGACCTACAACTGGCCCTGATGCTGCGGTAGTCACCTGCAATGCGGCTTGGATCGAATGGGCCAGTCGTTCCTTGGAGCTCCGCTCCCTTGGCCCAACCGCGACGATTGAGTCCACCGGATCGTACGCCACCAGCGCCGGGGCCTGCCGCACCTCGGTGACCCTCGAAGCCTGGTCCAACACCCACACGGGCCCTCTTACCACCCTCTGCGACGGGATCCCGCGTGCGGTGGGCCCGCGCGAAACTGCGACCGAGTACTACCCCGACGCCAGCGGTCTCTGCTCTGAGGGGTTCCATACCTTCACCGAGACCGAAACCCTATACCGCCAGCCTCCGGACCCAACCCCAGACTGCACCCTGCAGACTAGCGAATGCATCCCCATTTGGTCCACCTACTCGGAATTGGAAGCCTCCTACTACGAGACCATCACCGCGGCACCCCCAGGCGACACCAACAGCCCGATCCCGCCGTACTCGTGCCCGTCCACCACCCGCTCCTACCCGGAAGAAAACCCCTGCTCAGCGTGCCACTTCCTCCCCGGCACGGCCACCCTCTTCTACTGGCCCGTGACCACCGCCGACGGCGACCTGTGCCAGCAAAACGGGACCACCGTCTCTCCCTCCGGGCCCAGCACCGCCATCGTCAACGGCGAGACCTTCATCTCCCCGACCGTCTACCTCTCCTTCACCTCCATCTACGCCTGGAGCAACCGCCGCGCCCACCCGGGCTCCCAGTGCGGCGTCTCCCACAGCAACGAGATCCTCTCCATCAACCCAGCCACCCTCTCCTCCGTCCGCAACCACCGCAACGCCAAGTACCCCACCGTCGGCACCGCCTACCCCTTCAACTTCGCCGAGCTCATGCCCCACCACCTGGAAGGAGGGGGCAACGACAACGACACGCAGTCGCTGATCCCCTGGCCGCAGTACCGGGGCGGCCAGCAGTGCCCGCTCTACGACCCGAGCTGCACCATCATCCGCGACGATTATCGGCCGTGGGTGCTGCTGCCCGAGGAGGTCCGGCAGATCGACCCCGGCTGGTCGGTGTGCGACGAGAGCTGGTATATCCCGCCCGTGACCATGGTGCCGTTGGATCGTGAGGTCATCACCGTGACCGCCACGCCGGAGCCGGACGCGGACGCGGAGGTCCAGGGGTTCTTGCGGGTGGCGGCGGTGCCCGGAGAGGGTCCCGCGGCGGCGACTCCGGCGCCGACGGAGTTGGGGTGGTGAGTGAGCCCTCCGGCGCTAGCCAGGTGATCCTCGTCTGCGCGAACTCGGATGCATGTATAGCACCTACCTGTCCTTAATGCAGTAATAATACTGGTAATTGGCGATTGACTAGCCCTTATCTAGTTCTGGAGTGATCAATATTGCAGTACCAAATATCAACACAAAGCTTAGTATTGGGAATTTTCCATCTTGAATTCGGATACCGGGGGAGCAGGACACTGGCCAAACCACAGGAAAACAAACGTAGCCGGTTCATTTTCCGATTGAAACTAGCTCGTATGGGTTCTTTATGATATTCTCGGCGCTGTGATTGTGATTATGGGTTGCTGTTGTCGAGCCCTTCACAAAATGAGCCGGTAAATATATGCCGAGATGCAAGGTTAACACACAGACGATTTCGCTCTTGCTCCACATTCTATGCGAATCGCTGTAATCGTCTCATTGCAAAAATTAAAAATTGGCATGCTTCCAGGCCAGACAGACAGGAGATAGAACCAAAGCAGTTAAGAAAAAGAGATTGGCTGCGGAGTGACTCCAAGTTACGACCCCCCAGGTTGTAGTCGCCAAGCAATGGCCTTGTTCTTGCTGCACACTTTGTGCGGATCAGAGATAAGGTCCCGCAACGGAGGGTCCACACCACAAGCTCGACCGGATCTGAGGGAAAAGGACAAAAACAAATGACCTACGCAGGGCTCGAACCTGCAATCTCTTGATTCGTAGTCAAGCGCCTTACCATTGGGCCAGCAGGCCAGCTGTTGATACTTGGCTGGATCTTTGGCATTATGTTCCAATATGCAGTCCTGGTCCACACCTTTTTGTTGATCCAAGAGATACAGATGAATATATGACCTTTCATCGCTATTCTTCATGAAAACATAGACTTCTGAGGGTCGCGTGTGACACATCGTAAGAGTCGGCACCAGAACAGGTTTTCACTTTTGAAGAACCGAGGACGATGATATTATACAATCTACTTCACCATTTAACTTCGTACAGCGCTGGGCTGAAAATTCAACGAGCAGGACTATGTATTGGAACTCCAAGATGGTCCAAAACATTCCACCAGAAAACTTCGTATTAAACTCAAGATACATTCCACAGACCGAGAACAAGGGAAGTATTGTTCAAGAAACGACCCATACTTAGAACAAGCGATGTCCCGCCTCCCCTACCCCGACTACCACACCCCGCACGCCAAATCCCATCCCACCCTCAACATCATCAAACTGCTGTCGCACAGTGCCGCCGATGTCGACCACTGGACCGCTCTATGAAATGCCCAACTCAAAGACCTACCTCTCGCAGACCGCGACCGCGAGCTGGTGATCATGCTAACGACAGCCAAATTCCAATCGACCTACGAATGGACCCACCATGTGCCCGTGGCTAGAGTCACCAGAGCACAGCAGTCCGCGCTGGCAGCATCATCGAAACGGTTCAGCTACTTCATCTACGGGAAACATAGTCCCGAGGCGGGGTTCAACCCGAGAGATCTTGCGCTCCTGACGTTTGTGGAAACCATCATCTAGTAGCCGGAGGTTGGATTACTGTTCTGGAATGTGGGTTTGGGGAGTGGACTAAATCTAAGATTTGATATATGTCTCCCAGTGCCCGAAAGGCTGCGCAGATATGTGACACAGACAGGTGGGACCAGGGCACGTGAATATGGCGGTGGACAGAGGAGGTGATGGTATGGGGAGTCAAAATGCCACTATTGAAGCAATTCTTGGCTCACTCTTGTGAACGAGCACAACGCCATGTTCTGCACCGCGCTTGTGGTGACATACCGTAGCGGCAGACGGCAGACCTTGCAGTGGCCACCGCGGCAGTGCGGCTCGCTCCCACCCGCGCATTTCCCGCTTCCAAAAAGGCAGCCCTAATTGATGCTCACACTGTTGCTCTGCTGTAGATGAAGTGTGATTGATCTGACACAACTTTCTTGGCGAAAGTGGGGCGCAAAGGAGGAATGCGCGCCCAAGGGACAAAAGGCGTTCTCCACTACTGTAAATGAAGTGACACAAACGCAAGTGACTTACATATACTACCTGTCCCGGGCAACTCAAGAACTCATTTACAATAGCCCTAAGCACGCGAGTTCCTCATCTTATGTGTTTCCTGTTAAGGGCCCGACTCATTCTCAACAGGCAGAATCGAGACACTACCACTGTTGCCTAGCTAGCTTAGTAATCCTCCCTCATCATTTTCTGTAAATTGAACTTTGTTTTGATCAATTTCTAAGAAGCCCGTTTGCTTCAATACCAGCGGCAAGCCATGATGACAACCACAACGCCACCATCCTGGTTACTCCCCAGTCTCTTTGAATTCTCTCGTTTCCGCGGGACTGCACCTCCGACATGGCAGGTGGTCTTTATCTGCCCCATGGAGGACACAGAGCGTGTTGCGATGATGACAGAACTCAGCTCCGTGGATGAAAACTGGCCAGATCGTCCTTCGACGGAACTGCGGCAGATGGTAGAGATTCCGTGGTTGATGGACTGCGTGCCGCCAACATCGGTGATCTTCATGATACTCAAGAATGATCCAGTCATATTCATCGACGACCAGTCTCGCATAGATCATACAGCGATCATCGCCTGGAAGGCGTCCAAGGAATCCTCCCCCGAAGCTGCGCGGGTGCCGCTTAGCCGGGCCAATATGCTGCTAGCCGTGGTGGCTGAGGGTGGTATACTACCACCGACATACCCCCGCATCCAGCCCGAGCGGAGTCAAGAACCGACATTCAAGGTAATCCAAGACCCATGTTGCGACCATGAATCAACGGAAGCATGCTAAGAGGAGGCCATAGGAACCCAACGGTGTCCTCCCACCGCATCTATCAGGGCTACAGCTCGACCCGTCCACCCCGACTCTAATCTCACTCATCCACCTCCCGCCAGTTGTCCAGGAGAACCTCGAGACGATGATCGGTCAACGCATCATTATCCACAACTGGCCGCCCCACCAAGAGCCCTGCTCCCGCGCGCAGCTCTACCGCATGTTCCAGGCGCTGAAGATCCGCCATCCAGAGATCGACGAGGCCTTCGCGCTCTTCATCGACGAAGACGACGAAGGCTACCACGTCGTCCGCGCCAGGGGCGCCAGCGGGTACAGCGTGTTCGACCCGCGGGACAAACGTCTGGAGCTGGGGATCCTACCCTTCGAGAAGGTCCAAGACTTCTGGACGGCCGCCTGGCACCCACACTCCCGGACCCCAAGCCGCATGCCCCGGGGCCCCTACCGCTACAACCCGGCCATGTACGGCCTGCACGCGCACAGCGGCGGCGGGGAACCCATCGTCGACCCGGACGACATCGCCGGCAGCCTGGGCAGCGACGTGATCTTCGTGCTCGAACGCATGACGCCATCCGAGCTCCGCCGGATCCGCACGGAACTGTTCCCGTGCCCCGACCAGGAGTACATGTGGGTCGACGTCGCGGACCGACTGGTCTCCCCGGACATGCAGGGCCTGCTGGCGTACTTCGAGACCTCCGGGGAATTCGCCCACCGCAACAACCGCCCGCCGCTGCAGTTCCTGGCTGTTGACCGCCGGACGCTGGCGGATGCGATGGAGCCGGCCGATGAGCGGGAGGACTGGGAGGCGATCATCGTCGCCTCGCACGAGGGCGGCGATGTCTGGTTTCATGACGGGACGGCGCGTTCGTTTGGACACCTCTCCACGGGGTATGGATACGAGCGGAGGAATCTGGAAGAGGCGGAGGGGGTCTATGTGAATGTGAATATTTCGAATATGAGCTGGTCAGAGATGTGTGAGCGGTCCCCGGTGGTCCATTGGAGTGCGTACCGGGCGTGGGCGGAGAATCCTGAGACGGAAAGCTTCGCGCGGTCTTTCGGCCCGCAGGGGATGCAGGTTTCTGAGTCGGGGTGAGAGCGTTAGTTAAAGGATAATTGAAACGCAAAATCATATCTGATCGAATTCAGGGTTTCCAACGAGGTTACAGCCTATGTGGAGAGAGGAGTTCGTGTTTTCCTGCTCGAACACTAGTGCTTAGGGCTGGTTTACCGCTCACATTGACCTAACCAATGTAAGTTGGAAAGGTGTCATACAGTAGTGTGGATCTCAATGCAAAGAGTTTGTAAACAGATCTCTAGATACACTACTCAAGCTCCTCGATTCAAAATCTAATCCTGAAAGCTATAACTATCTTCTAGAGCCCGAAATAACATTGGTAGAAACTGCTGTTGGAGGATACCTGCAATCATATGTTTTTAAAGTCAAGACATCTAAAAGCACTTGGCGGATATTGTAATAAAAATGATAACATTGGATTAAGAAACACTGCTTCCTACAATAGCTATTGTTGTTCAATGTAAGTAATATCTGGCATACGATGAGTGCGCTTAGTGGTCGCCATCCAGTATTGCCGGTGGCATAGTTGACCATTAGCGGCGAACCGACCAAGGGCTTCACATCACGAACAAAAGTTGTAAAACAGCTTTTACTAGAAGCAAGCAAATTATCCACCACAAAGTGAGCAATGCCGTGCTATGTCAGAAGCCACGAAGAAGTGCCAATTGTCGATACACCTCGTCACCTTCGTTCCCATTGATCAATGCTTCAGAGGGGGTCTCCAGCTTCCGCAGCTTCAGACCCGCAGACATGACCCACTCCGTGAACGGCGTGGGTGTGGAAGTGCGTTGCCAGTGCCAGTTAGTCTCATCGTCAATATAGATGACCAAGTCGTAGCATTCGAGGTATCGGTCCACAAACGCCCGGCGGTAAGTGTCGCCTTCGGATAGCCAGCCGTACGCCTCCCGCCACCGGACCGGCTGGCGTATGACCTCCGGACAGCAAACGAACGGCCTGGCCGATGGCACAATCGCCCCGGCGTCGATCAGCCGCTCCAGATCGCCCAGCGTGATGGCCCCATGCTCCGCCGCCGGCTGCGACCAATATGCATGGCTGTATGGGATCCCCGGCACCGACCAGCACCAATCTGGATCCAGGAACCGGATGAATGAGGTAGGCGGCTGGTGCAGCAGCATCCTCCTCCAGCTGGCTTCAGGGCGCAGATACGCCTCTTCCCGCTTGCGGGATCTCATCTTCGGGAGATGGTGTCTTTCGTTCCCGGGTCGCCGACGCGAGTCGAGTACGCGGACGAAGAATTCGTCCCATATCTGGTCCCGCACCAGTGGGTTCTTCAGCCCCGGTTCACCGATTGCGGCGCGCGGGAGGCTGGGGCGGAAGAACAATGCTCTCTGAATTCGGCTGGATTGTTGGATGACATTGTACCAATGGCGACAGACGCGAGATGATAAGAGCAACTCGCGCATGTTGAGATGAAGGAGAATCATTTCTAGTAACTCTGGGATCAGGAAGAATCTGCATCGCTGTCTTTGCCTTTGGCAAAGGGCTTCCCCTAGTCTTCTTATAACTACGAAGAACGATTTCATGTTTGGTGATGCAGTAGGTCGAATAAACCGTCGAAGGACAGATTGAGAAGCAGAGGTAAGAAGGAAGAGGTTGAACTGTTGGATGAGTCAAAGAGGGCGGCGATTGAAGTGGAAGGGTCTTAACCATGACTCGTCTTCCGGATCTCAAATCCGCGTCAGGATTCCATCATCGTCGGTGATTATAGTGTTGGGAGCGGAACCATGTGTATGTTAAATACAGTGTACCTTAGGTCAATGTTCCACCTAGATATTAGTACCTCATGTCAAGTGGGGTCATGTGCCTGCGACTTCGCCCTTTTCTCGCCTGCCAAGCTCCCATACCTCTCTTGCCAGACCGTGCAACTACACACCCCATTGTGAACTCCTTCCCCACTGTTCCATTCTGCCTATGGCCCATATTTGTAAATAAGGCAGTGCAAGCGTTGTATTGGCAACTAAGTAATGAGGCTATATCTCTCGGAAAGCCGACGCTATCACATTGTGCTTGGTACGAACGACGCTGCGATGCTGACTTGGGTGCTACCTCGCTCCTTCTGACTACCTGGCGGATATACCACGCTAAATCGAATGCTTCGGCCGCTTACCGCTATGTGGAGCTCATAAGGAATGCGGAGAGTGGGCGCGGTATTTTTCTTGTACCTCGTAGCTGATCTAATAAGACCCTGTTCCCTTAACACGTCTAAATCCGCGACTACCGTTCCAATATGCACACAGCCTGATGACATGGGGGTCAGTGCAAAGAAAAGAAGACAGAAATGTATCTTTCGGACTCGACAATCACCGTTAGGGGAGTACTTACTCCCGTTTTTCGGATGGCTCTCCGGGTAGTGGTCTTCGGCATTGTCTTGCTCGGAATAATAGAGAGTATGATTCACGATCAACGATTCATCAGGCTCGAAGACCTGATGAAAGTTGCCGACGATCCACTGAGATTGCTTTATGATGTCTCCCTGAAAGGAGATAGGGATCAATATTAAGACCTGGCGACTTTGGACAGACCGGGTTCCATTGGTTCCCTCTCTTACCTTCTTGAAGATCCAGTTGATGCAGTTATAGACGTATCGTTGTCTCATCAAAATCTGGAATTCCGGCCGAACATCCCGGTGAGCAGCGCACTTTGGATCATACTCTTCACTCTGTGTGTAGCCAATGTTGGCTATGATCTGTCGATGTGGCCCATTGCTTTTATCGATGGCACGATACACGCATCCCCGCGACACTAGGGTTCCGGCCTCGCTGAAGGTCTCAATTAGATCGGACTGGGGCAATCGCGTTTGTGACCTCGTACCTTTCGGTCGGGAAGATGAATCTCAATCGCAAGGAGGCAAATCGTTCCCTGAGATACTGACGAAGCGGCTTGGACTGGGAAAGGCCACCTATCATGAGTACTTTCTGTTTGTGTTATCACCCGGTGAGCATCATCGATGGTCTGTCAAACGATCTGGCCGGCAAATGTACCTTGACTACATAGCCTTTTCGCCCCGCTGAATCAAGCTGGGCCTGAATAAGGCTGGCTGTTCCCTCCAAGCTTTTCCTGAAGTACTCCTTCAGCGTTCGTCTATGATGTACAGGTCAGCGGTTGTGTCAAGTCACCAGCGGGAGGCTTAGGAGGAGGGGGCTGTAAAGACCGAGGAATCGCTACCGCTCCTGTCTTGAAGCCCCTCTCAGGGTCCGCTTTCAAGCCAGGGAGATCCAGATATTCATAGCCATCAAGGCGGTCCTGCGCCAAGTTACAGTTCCTCTTCAGCCTGTTTTCGAAGTCTTGAAACATTCGCTCGATCTCACGCTCTCTGATAATCCCCTCACACAATTTAACGTCGCGCAGACGATCAGTCAGATCTTGCTCCATCGCCTGGTTGACGTAGACCGAGCCGCAACTTGCACCTTCGCACTACAATTAGCCATATCTCTTTGTGAGAGTATCAACAACTTCACCTGCTGGTGGAACAATCTCCTTTAGGCGCAATGGCTTCTCCTGAAGGACGGTGTAGGTGATTACATCCTATGAAGTCAAAGGAATGAGCAAAGTGTCGTCTGCCTTTCAGGGGATAACAGGTTTTGAATTTGACTCACAACCGTACCCCCTCCTGCGTCGCAAACCATAAAGGCCCCCTCTACCTGCAGTTGCCAACCGATGTCAGTAGCCTTCATTCACGCTCGTTGGAAGCCCGAGAAGCATGTACGAACCGAGAGCTCGTCCGGGCGAAGCAAAGTATCTATGAAAAATGACGAGGCAGCCTCAGGCTCATGGATCAGGTATAGGTCCAGGTTTGATTCGAGCTGGCTTTCCTCGACGAGATCTGTCAGGATGGTTTCCAGCGCGACAGAGGAGATGAACGAGCAGCCGACAGGGACTGCGACGGACAACTCCACTTCACTGGTGTCATCGAAATCCTCCTCCGCATCTCTGAGTGTATCCATGGTATGCCAAAGGATCGGGCGAAGGTAGTCCTTGACCACGTCGAACACGCTGGTGTGGAGGTTTGCGATGGTGTTCTTCTGCTCTTGTAGGAACTGCTCCTCCAGCCGTTCCTCATCCACGAACAGCAGCTTGGCAAACCGGATCGCACGGCTGGACGCTTCATGTACCCCCGGAGCGTCATCGTAGTGTGCGGCCATCAGCTGGTCGCGCACTCGATAGCCCCACGAGAAGTCATCGTCAGAGTATAGGCTTTCACTGGGCACAAGCGCGCTGTTCTGATACTCGCCTGCATACGGCCACTGACGGATGCATTTGATCTCGTCGTTTGGTACCCTCAGTGGACGTTGACCGGCTGCCAGCTTACAGTAGGCCACCGAGGTGGTTGTAGTGCCAAAGTCTATCCCCACAATGAAGCGTGATTTGTCCTGAGGTGACGCCTGCTTTCGAGTGGAATCAAAGACTGGCTCGGTATCTCCATTGCTCCAAGCGGGGGTTAACGCACGGGGCTGGCCACCTGGTGGAGTCAAGATACCTTGCGTATCCATTTTGATCTGCCTTGGGGTTTTCAAACGGACAATCTTCGACGGCATGCCGATACCTGCATTTATAACCACAGCTCTTTACTAATCTGTCAAAAAGTGATCGCGGCAGCCGCAACCCGGGCAACAGCTTCTGGCTCACCTGACGGTGGGGATTGTTTTGCCCTTTTCTTATTCCATCGATGATAGATACAGACTCAGGGGCAGGCAAGGCTGTGTTGGTGACAGGGATTATCTGTTAGCGCTGAACACTATCGTGCACTTACCAGCACAGGTTGACTGCGCCGCGGCTTCACGCCTCGGAACCATTGGCCAGGCTGGATGGCCTCTTAATTTGCGATGATACGCAACCTTGCTTTCCCCACTCAGCTTGCATCATGACTTGAAAGCCTGCCCCCCGGTTGCTGGTCCAAGACAAAGGCTCCAGACAAGGCTTTCTTTAGCGGTAAGGCTTTAAGACTTACGACCTCTCCCAGCTCGCCCCGACCGTCTACGGCAACTGACGAAACCAAGTCAGCAGGCGACAATCATCTCATCTCTCTTTCATGACAATGAGCAGCGAAAGCTCATTATCCTCCCCGATCTCTTTTAACTCTGAGGACTTCTGGGTAGCTGGCTCCGTTGCCCATGGCCGCCATGAGACACGACGCCAAGGGGAATCTCCTCCACCACCATGCTCGTCGAGGGTCCAAGAGCCGGTGTTAAAGATCCCAACAGCAAGGAGTACGAGTCAAAAACAACGGAAGGGGCATAAGAAACAGGCCGTGACTGCTAGCCAGAAGTCCGTTGCAGAACAGAAAACAAAGCGCGCTGAACCGCCATCCTCGGCCCAACCCACCATCGAGGTTTCCATTCCTCCCGAGGTACCTTTACCGTCCACCGGACCACCTTTGCCCTCTTCACTTTGGCTGAAACCTCTACTGCCCAGACTACTAAATTGTCAAACCCCGCGGGTGCCAAGTTCACGAACACAAAACGCGCTGAACAATATCGTACTTCGGCAAAAAAGCGTAAGCACCGGTCTCCCGCTGCCCAGTTCACGGGGAGCCCTAGTGAAAATGATCCTGGGCGTGGACCAACCTGTTTGCTCAAGGAACAGCACCAACTCCTGAAACGGCAGAATGATCTCCTAGTTTTGGAGAATAGTCGCATAACCAAGGAGCTAGCAAAGACCCTGAAAGACCTGCGGCACGCGAACAAGAAACTCAACCAGACCCGAAATCAGTACGAAGACATGCTGCGAGCAGGAATCCTCTCCCCCTCGGCGAATACCGAGGAGAGACTAAATGGAATTTCATCTTTTTTCAGTGCCGAGTTGGAGAAGAGGGACAAGGAGGTGAACCACAAGACCGCGCAAATCAGGGAATTGGAGATGCAGCTCGACTCCTCACGACAATTGAAGCATGTGCTTCGAGACCGAGCGGATGAAACCCACCAGTCCATCCCGAACTTCTGGGATGAGATGAAAGTGCTCCAGCAGAATGTATCGAACGCGGCATCCTATCTCTCCCGCGCCGTATGCAAGGACAAGCTTCGGCGATTGGTGAGCTCAGACGCAGACAGCACGGGCCTGAAGGCACTAATCAAGGAGAGTCTCGCGGACGATGTACACTTGCTCACTTCCTCTCCCAGGGAGGCACTGCGCGCGACCATCTTCACTTTCGTGCGATCGCGCGTCTTCTATTCTAACTGCTGGGCGGCACTGCATTGCAAGGGCTACATGCTAAGGGGCTATCAACAGGTGATCGAGAATAGCAGTGAGTCGAGCCTTCCACACGTTCAGCAGAGTTGACCAACCTCATTGATGTCGAATCCCCCATCAGCCCCCAACGGAACCCTTGAAGTAATTCACCAGTGCGCCCTTCAGCATATGACGGAGAAGGACCATGTATACCGAATATCGTGGGTTCCCGCCCACGTGGAAGAAGTGCAAGATGCATTTATGAAGATCTTTACCCCGGTGCTGGATCCGACCGAGCCGGAGGGCGTGGAACTGAATCTTGCAGGGTCCCTCCGGCAGCTACTGACGGACGCGTTCCTCTTTCGTGCGAAATGCTCCCCTGTCCGGGGGACGCGTTATGAGCTCGCGCATTTCAAGCCGGGGGATGTGTTCGATCCGGACATCATGGAAGTGGCGGAGACGGGCGGGCATTTGGTGCCTAAATGCCGGGATGAGGGTATATATCGGATCAGAGTTTGTACCCATGGTGCTATGATGCTTCATCGGGTGGATGAGACATCGTTTGGCGTGGATGCCGTTGAGTCTCTTGGCCAGGCATTCGCTGAGGGCGGCATTGCCCCCGCTGCAGAAGGTAGACTGATCAGTGCCAAAGCGTCAGTTATTCTGGAAACCATCTCAGACATAGCGCAGTGAACTTGGTATGCAGATACAATTGGAAACAGATTTCTCTCGAAGTATTTCACGCCAATGTCTCAAAAACAGACTTCTGAAAAAGATATAACTATGGATGCTTAAAAATGTGTATTCTTTCGATACAGGACAATAAACACATCCAAATCGATACATACTCATTACTTGTGCTTGGGAAGAACCAATACAACCAACTAACCAAGGATGTAGGAATACAAACCTAAAAGTGCTGTACTTCATAACTAGATCGATACTTACCCTTCTAACCTCAGTATATATGGTTCTAGGCGTGTGTGTTTTGATTCTTCGTAACATTGTTTAAGATTATACCATACAAGGCCGTTGAAGCTAACATATTGTTCTTCTGTGGTCTAGTGGTGCTGGCCAAAGTAGAAAATGGTGCTTATGTAGCTTTCTACTGGTAGTCTTATTTTTCTGTCTTTCTCCATACTCCATTCTGTGACATCTTGTTGAATAATAAGAGCAAACCACCGTGCAACCTTTCTGACGGTTGTCGGCCAGTCGGCCGGGACTAACATACGTCTAGTAAGTCCGCGAAACCTAAAACGGCCATAGTATAAGAAAATCAGAGCCTAGGGCATTCTCTACTGTGGTGAAATCGGTTTCATTGTTTCGAGATCTGTTTTCTTTTCTGATTTCTGTTATGGGTGGTGGGGATAGAAACTATTCTTAAGGTCTTTCTATAATATTTCTCTTCAATCTTCCTATGTATGTAATCAGAACATAGCTGTATTATCATAATGGTATGATAAGATTCCGGAGTGTCTACTTACTGAAATTCGAAACGTGTGACAATGCTATTCTAGAGTCCTCGCCAAAGACAAATAGCCTAAGCCCCTTTTCTGAGACGTCTTGAAAAGGTTCCCGTACCGTGTCATAACCACCTATCCACGTGCTTTTTGGTTTACCTAGATCCTGCATCGAACTAAGGTCTATAAAGCTCACTACCATGAAAACATCGAAGTTGCCACCCTACGTAATGAACTTGAGTTGCTTTGGCGCTCATCAAAACAATGTGAGGAATGGTGCAGAAATCCAGTATGTGCAATGTCATGCCCCAAGATGACATTGAGAGAGATTACCCTACACTGGAGTAGATCCCCTGGGATGCGTTTGCAGTCACATTAAAAGCCCAACATCCCAAACACTTATTCTCGCATCCGCACTTCCAAACTCCATCCCCAATAAACTGTTTCTCAAAGGAGGCACGGGCGCAGACCCGAACACAAACAAAAGCCTGTGATTCACACACCAGGCTCTTGAGCTCTTGGGGGATACCTTTATGACTGTCGCTACGGCAACGTGATTGGAGGCCTTGGCCCTCCAAGGTACTTCCTCGAGACATCGAACACTTGCCATCAGAGACAAGAAATGGACTAGGCGTTGTTAACCAAGTAACCGTACCAAAGGGATCGATTTTCGTCTTCTCTGTTTGGCACTCACACGGTTGGACCCGAAGAGTCGGTGTGCGGCAGAGACGTGGACCGCGGCTTCTTCGTTTGCACTGCCAGCCTTTCCTTGTTTGCAATGGGCAGACCCCAACCCAACAACAAGACGATAATCCGCGCTGGTAGTGACGGCGTTTGATACAACGACAACACGAAGTTATTCTGTCGGTCTCGTTGGGGAACGGAGATTGAAATCGCTTTCACCCCGCTACGAACCCGACCAGTACGCATCAGCAAAGGGGGGGGGGGCGGCACTAGGGCTTTCACGGTGCAAACCTGCGATTAATGCTATAATTCGAGGTGTCTATGAATGCGTAGGGTATTACATGGAGCGCAGTGATTCACTCAGAGGTGACAGCAAGAGCCAAGGTACTGGAGACAAATGTCTTGACAGACACGGTGGTGATGTGATTGTACTGTACAAAGTACGAATATCAAACAAGCGGAGAGCGGGGGAGTTGTCGGCGCCGCGTTTGCAGTAATGGCGCTGAGCAAGACGGCACGACGGAGAGACAGGAAAGCCAACGAGAGGACACTGCCTTAGTGCCTGATCTTTACACAGAACGCTACACATGATGCATCCATTGTAGCCAAACATGACATTTGATTATTCTTCATGCGTTTAGGTGTGTCGGGAGTTCTATCTGGGAGTCTCAATACATGGTTGTGTAGATCATCGCAAAAGAGTCACCGCAGCGATGGAAACAAGTATCTTGCAACCCCCAGCCTTCTAATCCTCCTATACGACATGGCGATTTCCAGAGCTTGCTGCTGAGAAAGGAAAGGCCTGCAGGACGGGCAGCGCTCGTGCTTGCACATCAGACGCCGGGAGAGCCTGCGGCAGCACAACCGCTCGTTTTTTGACCACCCCAAGCACACATGACACTGCCACCATTTGCCTGCCAGTGCGAGTGCCAGTGGCCGCAGTAATGGCACCAAAGTTGAGAAGTCACGGTTCCACACACTGTGCTTGCGTCCATGTAGCGCATTCTGAATGCTGTTCTTCTCCCACTCGGTTTGCGCCTTTGCTTTCTGCCGTGCCTCTTGCTTTGCCTTCTTCTCTGCCTCTTCCTTTGCTTTCTGCTTCGCCAGCCTTTTGGCGCGCCTCTTTTTGTTGGTTCGGCCCATGTTTAGATGGTTGATGGTATCGATCGAAGGGCTGGGAGCGGCACACAAGGTATTTTTGTGAGCGGGATGGTGGACTTGGAAGTAGATGTGGGTGTCGCAAGAAATGAGAGAGAATATGAGAAGGAATGGAAAACTGTTGGGTGGAAGAGAAAGAGCAAGCGACAAGGAGCGCTTCTTATAAATTCAATAGTGATCAAGAAGTCCTCATTCATCATCGAGATGCCAAAGGCCGGATATTTTCACTGAAGAGGGCAGAAGTACTACTGTACTCTGGAATCTAGCACACTTGCTTGGGAGGATAGCTGTTGGTACCGCATCTCAATGCTTTCACCAATGGTATCCGGAGCTGGATTCTTGAAATCCCAACAAAGGAACAAGTAAACAGGCCAGAAAAGGAGTGAAGATACGTGGACCAGTGCACACTATATTTCGATTGTCTCTCTGGCCGCCAGTGCTGATGTCTCGGGCTCTGGCAGCTGTCACACTGAAGTCCTTCCCAGAGTCATCCGCTAGACACTCAAGTGACAGTTGACTTTCCGGCGAAGGGTCAAACTCCAGGCTGGATTTGAGTGGCAGAGAATGGCGAGAATCTACGTGAGACCTGGGGCAATGATTCGTTGTCCTGGGATATTGTGAACACCGTATCCCGAACCCAGTAGACTACCGCTAAGTATTCACGGTCGTCAGTCGAGATCCGTTCTTCAACCCGATAGTACAGTTATGGTAATGGTGAGGGCCCAGGCTCATTGCCACCGTCCGGGGGCTGGGTTGTAGTTATCCCGGCGGTGGGGCTCACCAGGGAACAATCGCGCGCGTGGTAGGCACCGTTCTTCCGCGCTTCGCTGCTGGAGCTAGACGTGTCGCTTGTTGTCTGCTTAGGATGCTTGGCAGGGGACAACTCGACCAGTGCTAGGGTTCTATCAGCTTGTCTTATTACGTCGGAGTTCGATGGAATTGACGCAGGGCTCTCTCACCGTCTGGCTCCCCGCGGTCCCGTCGTTTGCCATGGAGCGTTTTCCGGGGGAGGACGCGTGAACCTTCCTTTTTTTTTTTTTTCATTTTGCTCACACTCGAGCTTGAAACAGATGCAGACGGCATGTCGACGTCAGAAGCTAGTTCGTCGTAAGATGTCGTGATGTTGCTTATGTGTATTCATACGAGTAGATGGAGAAAGGGAGTGCACCGGGGCCAGATCTTAGCGGGAAAGACCGTGAAGCTTTATAAAAGATACTCTCCAGATTCATACACTCGGCCTCTGCCGAAGTGTTCCCGCATCGAATAAAGTAGTTCTACGGTACAGTCAACCTATTGTCCTGATGTGGTGCGAGACAAAGAGGACCACAAAAGAATCATAATAATCACGTGACAGCCAGCACCCGTTAGCATCACCCTTCGTCCCTCCATCATGTTATTTATGTTTTTCTCATCTGTATTTTGCTGACTTCATTCAGTAAATCAGAGAATAGATGGTATCAAAAATGTCAACACACTGGAAAGGGGGGGTGAAGTGAAGACAACGGTAACTGAACCCATCCCCAACTGATAACGTAGTCAACGATCGACCGTGTGCACCTAGCAATGGCATGGCAGGGGTTGCGCTCACCCGGCCAATTAGTGCTGCGTCGTGGCTTGTGGCCTGCTTAGTGCTCTTATAGTGCTTACGTCGATATACTAAGTCTCGATGCAGATGCGTCACAAGAAGCAGGGATTAAGCAAGGTGAGGGGCAATTTAGAACTGGGATCTCGCATCTTTCAAAGATAAACCCTTTACCCCCACGCCGCCCACCAGCTACACCTCTCGCCTTGTCAACTAGAATCCCTAAGCGTGCCCTAAGCCAGGACTCCCACGACCCCCATCCCATCCCACCACGATGAACTACTGTCCCGAGCGACCCTCACAAAGCAGCCCCAGCACGCTCAACCTGACCATCACGCCTCACTTCACCGCCGCCGCAGAAGCCGACCGACTCTCCGTGCAACTCACCCTCCAAGCCCCGCACTGCGCGGCCCACCTCCCACTCTTCCTCTTTGAGACCTACTACGGCAACGTCCCCGCCCACCCCTACACCGAGCGCGACATCACAGCATGCGACGCCGCCGGCCCCCTCCCACTGTACTTCATCGACCCGACCAATGCAGACCAGGAATGGCGCGTCGACCGCGACACGGTCGGCGACGTGCAGCTGCGCTTCGTTGTCGGCCCACGAGCCGTGGACATCACGACGCCTGTAGGCCCGCGGGTCGACCTCCGCCGCGACCAGGGCGGGTTGATCGGCAACGGGCGGTGGTTCCTGCCTCGCCCGGCGGCCTACGACCGGATCTACCGGCACGTCGTGGCGTGGGACCTCTCGCACGCCGCGGCGGCTGCGCAGCGCACCCGCGCCGTCTGGTCGTTCGGGGAGGGTCCGGACCCGGTGGTAAAGGTCGGCCCGCCGACCGTGCTCATCGACTCGGTGTACATGGTTGGGCCGATTAAAAGTTATCCATGCAGCAGCAGCACCACCACCGTCGGTTCTCCGCCGCGCGCGCAGATCTACTGGTTCGGCGAGCTGCCCGATAACCTGCGGCGGCTCAACACCTACAACATCCAGCTGTATCCGAAACTGGCCGCGTTCTTCCGGGACCGCGAGGCGGGATCGTACCACATCTTCATCCGGCGGGTGCTTCGCGGGTTCGGGGGCCACGGGTGCCAGCAGAGTTATGTGTTGGAGTACGATGATGCAAGCCGGACGGAGACGGAGGAGGAGCTGGTGGCGCTGTTCTCGCACGAGATGGTGCACAGCTTTGTGATGATGGGGCCGGAGGCGGATGGGTATGATAATGGGTGGTTTGTTGAAGGTAAGAACCCCCAGGTTTGCAAGGTGGATGTGATCGTCTGTCGGGCAGAAAGTGTGTATGGGGTGCAATGCTCACGGGTGCGGTGATGGTGTTAGGGCTCGCACAGCTCTACTCCGCCTATCTCCCCTATCGCTTCGGTCTTCGCGGGGCGGATTATCTCCGCAATCGTGTCAATGCATACTTGAGTGCATACGGGACCAGCCCGCGCATCGGCATGGATGCGCGCGACTCGCAGACGGAATTCTACGATGACTGGTATGCCGAGTTGATTCCGTACATGCGGGGCTGCGCCTATCTGCTGCAGGTGGACGGCCGTCTGCGGAGGATAACGGGGCGGTTTGGGCGGGAGGCGGACGGTCCGCTGGATGAGATTGTCATTGATATGGCGAGGCGGTGGCGTAGTGGCCAGCGACTTCGGGCGAGCGACTGGCTGGAGTATCTGCGCCCGTTCCTGGGTGCGGGCGTCGCGGGTGAGCTGCAGGATATGCTGGGCGGGCGGGTTCTCAACTTGGGCGGGACCGTTGTGATTTATGAAGATTGGGTGCTCAGCCCTAGCGAGCAGGAGATTCTAGAGTTTGGATTCAGTTTATCCAGTGTCAATCGGCGTGTGATCTGCGGGGTCGTGGCGGGATCGAGAGCCGCCGACGCTGGCTTGGAGGACGGACTGCCGCTGGTGGCATCGTCTCGCGCCGGTCGTTGTTCCACGTCGCTGTCGGCCACGATGGATGTGGTGGTTGAACGAGGCGATGACAGGGTGCAGATCTCTTACCGGCCGCGATCGTTCGACAAGGCGAGGGTCTGGCAGTTGGAGTGGTCGTGAGCTGACCTGGGGTCTGATTCGTCGAGAATTATCGGTCATTATTAGCTTCTCCGACCCTGAACTAGGCTCCGTGATTGCTACGGAGTTGGATTTTGAAGGGTTGTGGACCGTAGGGGCATCAGTGGATCTGCGTCAGTTTTCCATGAGGCGTACATGATATCAACGCCGTCTGAGAGTGCATCGGATGCTCGGGCTCGCGGGATGCGCGGATGGCAGTCACAGAGTATAAACAACGTTACTGCCATTCAGAGCTACAAGGATCTCATCTTTACTCTTGACGTATTCAATTAATATTTGTTTCAGTGGACATGAGGTCTTCTGGTAAGAAACGCGCCAGTATCAGCACCCGGCAAGAGGGCCCTACTCCGCTGCGGCTAGCCAATCCTGAACATTCCGCCCGACTCGCGTATCCTCAACGGCGTTATTGTTGCCATAATTATTGCAGCAGTCAGCATCACTAGAGTCAGGGTAATTGGCGGAGTGGAACGAGTCGCTCTCATCATCCTCTTCTGCCTCCTGCAGCCACTTGTCTCGGAAGATGCTTTCAGGCGGCAGGCCTTCACAGTTGCGCATCACCCAGCCGAAGACTTCGCTAGATGCCGACATAGACGCATCCTGGTCCACAAGCGGCCGAAAAGGGATCTCCATCTTGGTACGGGGTTCCAGCGGCGAGACATCCCGCCCGGGAAAACATCGAGCGTCCGGCCCTCCGTCATCTAAACCACTGTCGGGTGCTGGGCCTGTATCATCCGTCCATAGTCCGTTCTGTCGAAGCCAAGACCAACAGCGGTACACAAGTCGGTGTCGGGGGCAGTGACGATGAACTCGGACCCTGATGGCCGAGTTCGCGAAGGTGGTTGTTCCCGCGGGCTCCCAGGGGCTGAAGGGGGGGCTGTCGTAGTGCAGGTCATCCTCGACCGCAGAGGGGAGGTAGAGCAGGCGCCAGGCATCGGGGCGGGTGATTTCACCGTCCGAGCACGACGAAATTGAGTATGGTCCCGTACCAGACAGATCCAGAAATGACTGTGGGCAGCCAGTCCACGCCGAAGCGCTGGGATCGAGAGGGGGGGTGCCACTTCGGACAAGATCCAGTGCGAAGGGGACGAGTCCACTCAAGGCTGCTCCTAGCCAGAGTGGCCCAAGTCGAGGACGACGCAGAGCGCACATAGCTGAGAGTACCTCGATATACCCCGGTGAGGATTTGCAAGCAAGCGCTGCGGGCAGCTCATTGAGAACAGGGTGTAGCCAGGGACTGACCTTGTTGCAGGGGACGTTGGGCTCCCAGAAGACTCCACACATGCTGGAGATCACTACATGGAAGTTGCAGCTCAAGGCCATGTAATATGGGATGTCTTTGTATAACTCGTCCGCGGTCGGTGTCCGGGCTACCGGCACTCTTATGTGAGTTCGTGCGTGAATGTCGGGCAATGTAGCCGGCACGCCATAGCAATTGTGCGTGGGCAATGTGATGGCGGTCGCTAGTGCTGCGAAAAGCTGGCCGAAGATGCCATGGTGCTCGCAAAAGTCGATGAGAAAGCCTAACGCCTGTCTGGAAGATGGCGAGACAACCGACGACCTCGTTGCTTGCGGCTGGCTGACCTTGAGCTTCGGGAACGCGACAGGCGGATCACCATCACCAGCCGTCGACCACGGCGATATAAACCGATCACCGCCAATTTGCATGATAGTGGCTCGCCAACCAGGACCCTGGGAGAGAACAGCAGCCCACCATCTTGCAGCATTCTCCTCAACGTCGCCAACGTCTATCGCATTGTCAGTATCGTCCAAGGAGGTTACCTCCGCTCGTGAGTCTGTGTAAACCAGCGTAGACTCTCCCTGCATCCTCTCAACCAGCTCGGCGGAGAAGATGTACAGCCACGCGAGGACAAGCACGGTAATGATGTTGCGCTGGACGCCTGGTTTGTCAATGTCATGTCGATCCCCGGAGAAGGCAACATTCCCAAAACGCAGAGGCGTGGGGCGTTGCACGCCAATTGGCAGCGAAGCAGCCCGCGTCTTTTGCTGCCCACCCACTCCACAATCTCCACCCACTTCAACTTCCCAGGTGGCTTGAGCTCTCAGGTACAATATTCCGTTGGATGAGAAAGTTGACAGCGATGCTTGCCGATCGTGGAGGTGATTCTAAGGAACAGATGGGACATGTTTTAATAACTCTCTAACCCCGAGCGCTTGTGGGGCTATCCCACCCTCGTATTTTGCGACGGCAGTGTGGGCTAAAGAATGCCAGTACAACCGGGCCTGGTGTAGAGACTCATCCAAGGCGCGCGGAGTTAGTCTAAGAAACTCTGTCTGCTTGGTGCTGCTGGCGGTATTAGCGCGGGGAGACTGAGAATGAAATGAATAACCATCCAACCCTTTCTTGCTGTGTTTTGTGTCCATCTCGAGTGGAAGATTGAACCCAGAGATTACTCGTTGAAGCATGCTTGTCGGGGAGTGTCAGCAAGTGCGAGTGCTTCAATAGGCCTGGGAAGCGCTGGGAAAAAGAAGAAGAAAAGTATGACATGTCATGCAAAGGAAGGGCACAAAGAGAGCCCTGTGTGTAGCCGAAGTGGATGAGATGCGTAGGTTCTGTACCGTACTGTAACGTTACCATTCAAGACATCATATACCCTGGCCGTGGTATCCGTCTCTTAATCACAGTCAGAGGGTTGCAGGATGGCTGGAAAGGAAAGCACTTGAGTGTACAAGGTATAAGCAATGTGAGGACTCAAGAGTGTACTATATGAAACAGTTTCTTGCTTCTTTGGTGGTTCTTGGGTGGTTGGATTGGTTGAACTATCTGAGTTCTCAACTTGGAAGATGTGCAACGCGCTTGGTGAATCGCCTCGGATCACGTGGGCTGGATTACTCAGGAACGCCGACAAATTGAACATGCTCGAGTATAAACAAACGTCTCAGCCTGACATGTGTTACATATCATATTGGGCATGACAAACATCTCATTTCATTCCTTGGGCGGGGGCCGGACTGGGCGGCTGCACAGCAACTAATGATATCGTAGTAGATTTGAGTTCGATAATAACTAAGATTCCTACTCTACTGTGAAGCTATGATCATTTTGATCAAGGACCAAAGCCCAAAGAATAATTATGTGTGGGGTGTTTATTAGGCATCACGATGCGAATACCCCAGCATTGAAGAAATCAAATCCTCTGTATCCTTCGTATCCTGAAAAGTAGAATGCATGCTAGATAGGAAGCTCTATATAATATAGGTAATCCTTTTCCTTAAAATTCCAACCTCAACAGATACCGTATCGACTGAGAAGACCATAACCCCCTCAGAAACCCCACTGCTGGCACCAATGCCGCATCAACTCCGGGGTAACAGGCAGCACCCCGCGCATCGTGGGACTCGCCGCCTCCGTGCGGGCCGTCTCGAACCCCTTCGCCCGGGCGGTCGTCTGCCGCGCCGCCTCGCGGTACGTACTCAACAACTTCACGCCGGGATTAACCTCCGCGTCCTCGGCCGCCATCGACGCCAGACTGGCCTCCAACGCATCCACCCACTCCTCAAACGGAACCACACTCTTGATGCGGTCGCCGTAGAACTCGCACAGCCCCGGCACCAGACCAGCCCAATCGACGGCATGGGGATTGATGGCGTGAAAGTAAGCCGTGCCTTGCTCAGCACTTTCTCCATCAACCATCAAACCATCCTGCGACCCCTTCTCCCCCTCCACCACCCCCGAAACCTCCATAATCACCCCCGCCACATCCTCGACACACATCCACCCGCCCGCCGCCACCAAACCCCCAAGTGTGCTCGGCAAAAGCCCCAGGTACAACGAGCTGCGAACCAAGCTGGGCACCCACTCGCGCACATTCCACATCCCCCGTTCCCCGCGGGGCCCTCCGACCTGTCCGACGCGGATGATCTTGCAGGGCACGCCAGACACCCGACTGGCCGTCTCCAGCACCCGACTGGCCACGAGCTTGGACTGGCCGTATCCGCCGACCGCGTAGTCCCACTCCTCGAAACCCTGTTCCGGGATGGCTGTGTCCGGGGAGGGCCAGTTGGCGAGGGTGCTGACGCTGGAGATGAAGCTGATCGGGATGTGGTTGGGAGATGCAAGGCTGAAGTCGAGCAGGTGGCGGACGCCGCGGATGCTGGGCTCGAAGGAGGAGAGGGCGAGGTTGAAGTTGACGGGCCAGGCGTTGTGGATTATTTGGTCGACGGTTTGGGTGAGCGCGGTGTAGAGGGTGGGTGGGAGGGCGAGGGTCGGGTGGGTGAGGTCCGCGGTGTGGAACTCCACGCGCGAGAAGTCGGTGGGGAGGGAGAGCGTGCTGTGCGTGGTTTGTTGGCGGGTCGCGGCGTTGGGGTCGCGGTTGAGGCAGATGATCTTGTGGATGTTGGGGTTGCGGAGGGCGGTCGAGAGGAGGTAGGGGCCTAGGGTGCCGGTGGTGCCGGTTAGGAGGAGGGTTTGTGGGGGGTTGCGGGAGAGGGGTTTGGTGGGGTCGACCGCGGGGAGGGTTGCGGTGTATTTCTCTACGAGGGTGGTGTAGAGGGTTTCGTCTGTGGGGGAGGGCTGGAGTGTGGATGAGGGTGTGCTGGTGGTAAGGGAGTAGGCGTAGGTGGCGAGCTGGGAGATGGTCGGGTGGGTGTAGATGGTTTGGGCGTCAATGGCTCCGCTATCGGAGAGAGGGGTTGCTTTCTCCAGGCTCGCCCGCAGTGACCGGGCCAGCTGGATGGCCTGGAGGGAGTCTGCGCCAGCGGAGAAAAAGTCCTGGTCGGCGCAGAGCGTGGGCAGCTTGAGCACGCTATGCACCAGCTTACGCACTGAGTCCTCGAATTTCTCGCTGGAGGTTAAGTCGACGTCCACTGCCACCACAGACGCGTCGCTGCTGGCTGCGAAGATGCGCTCGATGTCCTCGGCGTAGACCTTGACGACCATGGCACGCTGGATGGTGCCCTTGCCCGCCCGCGGGAAGGGCCGTTCCGCATCGGAGAGGAAGATGTAGTCCCGCGAGATGCGGCCGTGGGCGACCGTCTCGATGTTGACTTTCTCCACGATCGGCCACACTTCATCGAGGAATTGCTGCCTCTCCTGTTCGCTCGTCGGATGCTGCGCCGGCTCGATGATCAGCGCAGCGTGGAAGTAGTTGCTGCCGACGACCTGTGCACCCCGCACCCCCGGGTGGCCCATCACGGCGCCTTCGATGGTCGTCGGGTTGAGTTTCTCGCCGTTGGAGAAGATGATGATGTCGTCCGCTCGGCCGACGTAGGTCCAGTGGTTTGGGAGGGTGGGATGAGGGCGATACAGGTCCTTCGTGCTGAACTCCTGCAACTCTGGGAAAGCGTAGAAGCAGCCCTGCAGACCGGGGTGGCTTTTGTCCTTGCGCACGATCACTTGCTCGTAGGTGTCCTCACCGAACGGGCGCCATTCGATGCCCATCAGCTCCGTGGGAACGATGAACCAGGGCCACAGGGTGGCATCGGGTTGGTTGTAGTAGGGCATGTAGATATACCTGACATATTCAGTGAGCAATTGTTGTCCGCACCGCGAGCAAACTCCACTTACTCGGTCGAGCCAATGGCGTTGACCAACCTCACACCATGACTTAACAGATGGTTGGCGGGATCTGGAGCGACGGGGCCTAAAGGTAGAGGAGCCGGTTAGCAATTATCCTCATATGGGAAAAGGCTGTACACACCCCCTGCAAATCCCACTGCATGGAGCTTCTTCAACTCCTCGATCGCTACGTCCGACCGCGACATCTGTTCCAAGACTGCCGGCGGCATCAGCGTAAACCCTGCGTCCGTGTTCTGCAACCAGTCCACCACATTGTCGCCGGTGATGGGTACGGAAGGATCCCGAAACGCGATCGGCGCATCGTAGTAGAATGCCATCAAGATCGTCGGCGCGATGCCTGCAGTGTGAAACAAAGGAAAAATATTAAGGTAACGCTTGTTGGGGAACTTGGCCCAGGTCGCCAGCCAAGGCAGATTGCCCTCGTACTCCGGGACATAGCGATGGAGGTCGTTCAGGGCGAGCGTGCCCTGATGGATGACGACCGGCTTCGGCAGCCCGGTACTGCCGCTCGTGTGCAGCACCACAAAGGGATCCCATTCGGCCTCCTCGAAGGTCTTGGTGTAGGGGAACGGTGCGACCTCCGTGCTCACCCATTCGTCCCATGGCGCGACGGCCACGCGCTTCATTCCGCAGCGCCTCTCGACCCACGGTTGCACCATCGCGGCGTTTTGTGCTTCGTGAAAGAGCAGGTTGCAGTCGGTTTTCTCGAAGAGATTCAGCTGTGCTTCGACCGAATTCCGCGGCGAGATGAAGAGTGCCTGGTAGCCGGCTTTGACGGCGCCGGTTGCGAAGATCGGATACCGCGGGTCCTCCAGACCGATGTAGGCGACGGTGGGAAACGTCCCGGGGGTCGGAGTGCCACCCTCCTTGGTGAGCATGTGCGCTACGTAGTTGACGGCGTTGGCGACCTGCGCCCAGCTGACGCGTTTCCATCCCGCCTGGGGATTGCCGTTGCTGCGAGGAACGGACAGACACTCGGCATCGGGAGTTGCGCTGGCCGTCGCATCGATGACATGCAGGATGAGACGTTTGCCGCACTCCCCTCCCAGGAGTGGCGTGGCGGCGGAGTCCGTGTAGGTGCCAAAGACGTTCATGGTGAATGAGACCCCTCGTGTATGTTGGAATTCTCAATTATCTTGTGGCAGAGACACACCCATTGTGGGAGGGGGAGGGCACGAATGCAAATATAGTCGTATAGTCCCGGCGACTCCGTGTTTGGTGGGGCAAAAGCGCTGCAAGCGTTGTAGATGATAAGCTGCCACATCAAGTGGCTTAGGGTTCAGCTGCGCCATCACAACTCGGCTGCTGCTGGCGGTTGCCGAGATTTGCCTGTTCGAGCAAGGCGGACTTGGTTGCTCCAATGGTCTACTGATGTGGCGTTGCGCCGTTGCGAGAAGCTGAGAAATAGCGTGGGATTAAGTTACGAGTTCACTCAAGTTCATGGAAGGGCGGGCAAGATTAGCCGAGACACAAACCATTGGGACTCGGGAACGATTCAGCTGTACGCCGTATTATCTTTGCCAAGCAAGAGCTGTAAAGCGTGACAAAACCACAGTTTTGCTGCCTATTCATAAAAGGATACGGTATGTACAGTACATGATACTCGGGTTTGACAAAACGTATGTATCTTGAGACTCGGTCGGAAGACCACCCCCTCGGCAGTATGGAGAGACTTGAAAATGTAGAATACCACACCCGTATCATGGATGGTGGTCACACTGAGCCAACTCAGTGTGGGATCTGGAAGGTCGAAGGAACACCGAGGCACGGCCCGCCGTTGGGATCCATGTTTGTCACCGAATCTCCAGATCTCAGGAAGTGGGCCCCGGCAACAAAGTCCGCGAGTAAAATCAGCAAATCAGCAAATCGGCAAATCAGGCGCGAAAGATAGTACACCAGTAAACTGCAGTCACAGGGTGCTAGACCCCTCAATCCTTTTCATTCTCGCTACCGACCCCCAGTGGTCATGCATCTGATCTAGTGCGGATAACATTTGCGCTGATCTCTCCCGGTCTTCTTCATTGTCATTGGAGCTGACCGACCGCATGTGCTCTAATATCCGATCGGCTTCTGTTTCAACCAGCTCTTCCACCGCTTCCAAGCAGCTTTTCACCGGCTGATGCGAGGCCAGTCCCAGCGACGCCACTAGGTCGGCCCGAACTCGAACCCTCAGTTGGGCGCGAATCAAATGTTCCAGCCGGGCGGCCATCAGCGGCGCGCTGAACGGGCCTTCCTGGTGGGGCCAGGCGTAATGCGCCTGAAGGGCCTCCCACCGGACGGAGAGGTCCTGACAGCCGTCGCCCACCAATAAGATCGTCGGCAGCACGCCCATATCGACCAGCAACGTAGGTCGCTGTGGAAAGCGGGCAAGGAAGCGTTGGTTCCGATGGAGCAGATCGCGATACTGCGGTGTGAACCGCTGCAGCGCCGCCAGGTCTCCGTGGAGGGGCCCCGTCTGCAAGCCGAGACCGACGGCCGTCAGCCAGATCTCGAGCACCTCGGCCCCACGCTGATCCTTCGGGCTGAGCCTACTGTTGTCTTGCTCCATGCGGAAGGCGCGCCAAAAATGCCGGGCGCGGTGGTATTGCGCCGTGAGACTGGCTTGCTCCGCCAAGACGGGCGCGGCGGCAGCAGACTGGAGTTCCGCTGGGGACATCCGCCAGCACTGCCGGATGAACTTGAAAAAGCGGTTGTAGAGGGGCTCCAGCATGTGGCGGGCGGAAGAAACGGTGTGTGGGCCTTTAGAATGCGAGGACCATGACGGCCATGTAGGGTCTACTGCCGGTTGGACCGCCACCTTCGATCCTCGAGACGCGTCTTCTGGGCTGCTGCTAGCGTCACTGCCCTCACCCATAAACAAGCGATCACTGCCAATCTGGGTATCCAGATGTCGGAAGGCATGCAGCCAAAAGAGATGAAGCGGCTGACCGGCACTGCTGGTTGAGAGCGTATCTTCATCCAGAATTCGCAGGCCAGCACGGATATGCTGCACGGCAGTCCCGAACTCCTGCCGTACCACGTCCATGATAGTGAACAACAGACAGCAGAGTAATGTCACCTCCCGCATCTGTGGGTCCCGTGGATTCCGTCGACGCAGGCAGGCGAAGGACCTCGTGGACTGTGCGACCGCCATCAATTCCCAGACGGTGGACCCGCCCATCAACCCAGGCTCGATGTGCTGGTGCACCGCGCCTAAGGCAACGACAGCATGCCAGACCGCGGGTTCCCGGCGCACCGTCTGCAGCACAAATTGCTCCCATATCAGAGAGTCGAAGTAGCTGAGCACGTCGGGAATCGTGCGGGCTTGCACAAAGCCAAAGCAGCGGCGCTCATCGGAGGTACTGGCCCACGGGACGGTGACTGCGACCGGAGGCGACAGTGGCAGTCGCTCGGAATGGCGCGTTCGTGTCGTGGGGAGAAGCAGCCGATGGGCATCATAGCCGTCGCATTGCCGTCCAGTCGAGGTGCAATTTTGGCACTTGCCTGGGGTTTCGTCGCACTTCACGTGGCGGGCCCTGCCGTTAAGTGTCAGCCTATTCGCTGCCTGGTCGACTACTGGCTACCTGCGTACCGGCACGTGCGACAGCCCGTTTTCGACCGTTTCAGTCGGGCGCGGCGGGTTCTTCCCCGGTTCATCACAGAGTGCGGACGGGATGTGGGGGGTTAAATAGCTTGAGAATAGAGGAGGTGGTGGAAGAAGAGACGTTGCGTAAGATCTTGGAGAGAGGAGAAAAGAAGCCATCGCTAAATCAGGCAAAGCAGCAGTCACTAGAAGAGACTAGACAGGGATCTATGATGATCTGCACCCTTTCGTTGCCGAGGCATGACTCGATGCAGCAGCAAAGCCCAACAGCTCTGACTGCAGGTTTTGGTGGAGCACTGAAGAGAGAGGAGGAAGCATACATGGTCACCGATGGTCTAACTACCTAAGGATTGGTCGCAGACTGAGAATGACTCGGTGTTTATATGGTCAGGCAGTGGGTGCTATCAGTCACTCAAGTGACGTGCCGAGGCGGGGCCTTTGTCTCGGTCAATGCTTTGAGAGAAAATATATAGTCGACTTGTCAGAAGCAGCAAATTATACAACCTGTCGACTCATGTTTCTAACTTGAGATTATGCTCTTCGACTGGAATGTCCAAGAGTTGCTTCCTTGCCTCTTATGCTTGTTTTTGTTTTTCAAGTGCTACGGGGTACGGAGTATGTTAACAACTGAGCCTATGACTAACTCTCAATTTGCCTTTCTCGCTGAGCCAGTGATTGTTGGAAGCGGGAAGCAGTTCTGAAACTTGGGTTGGAGTTCCAATTGCCCGGTTTTAATGGGTGCCGCATAATCGATGTTGCCTGATGTCGGCTGGTAATTCGAATTGTCTGAACTGCTGCTGTGTTTGGTGTTATCAATCTCCGGGAACACTAAATCATTGCTAGTCGACTTGTCTCGAGTATATATCTACTTAGTGGTACTATGTAGATTATCTGACCACTAAGATATTCCAAGTGGTCCACATGTACTCGTACGACCAGCCTGCCGAATTGACCAAGTTATGGCACGGCCCGAGCGATCAGCATGTGCCGGGTCTGCACAAGGTAACTTACTCCGATACCGCCGTTAGATGACGCAGCTCCCATACTCAAGTCCGGGCTTTGAGTGGACGGGAAGATTATTTACGCGCGTGGGCCCACTGATCGTAGTCCTCACAACTCAATGCAGGAAAGCTTCCGCAAACCAGGCGCGGCAGAGAGACCGGATGCTGCTATAGATCCTACCTTATCCAGGTTAGAGTACAGCCATTACCACATTTCCCAGTCCATGCCGAGGGAAACCTCGGACTTAATCTTCGCAAGGAACCCCAGCCGACCTTATAGGTGGTTATAAGTATGGACAAGGGTATTCCTGCAGGTACGACAGATTGACAAGCATATCCCGGTCTGCGAACATCTTTCTTGCTTGCCTTTTCACTTCTATTGCCTCGAAGATCGATGCCCTCATTCAAGCAGTCCGCCCTCGCGGCTCTGGCCGGTCTCGGCCTCTCTGCTAGCGCCAGCTCCAGTGCTTCCAGCCAATGGCCTACCCAGTTCACGCATACCTCGCTGGGCAATTTTAGCCTTCCCATTCCCTCCTTGGTGACCTTCGGCACAGGTGTCATTGGCGGTCTCTTTCGTCCCCTTGCCAGTGCTGATCCAGCCAAGGCTCGGATCGGCATCCTCGTCATGCATGCCGAGCAGGATTACACCACCTTTTACCCCTGCAGTGAGCTGCCCGTCCGTGGATACACCACCCTCTGCTTGAACAACGCTCAGAGCAAAACTGGTCTCATGAATGACCTCGACTTCGAGACGATGATGACGGACGTCGGAACAGGAGTGCAATTCCTGCGCAACTTGACCGACATTGACCAGGTGATCATCTGGGGTCACTCCGGCGGCGGTGCGATGATGGCCGCGTATCAGAACGTGGCCGAGAACGGAGCCTCTGCCTGCAACGGCACTGAAAAGCTGTACCCCTGCTCCAGCGCGATGGATGGCTTGCCCGCTGCCGACGGAGTGCTGCTCATCGATGCCAACTTTGGCCTGTCCACCATGACTCTGCTGTCTCTCAACCCTGCCATCACCAACGAGACCACCGGAGCCGATATCAACTCCGAGCTGAACTTGTACAGCGCGGCCAACGGCTGGACCGAGAACGGGGCCAACTACACCACCACCTTTGTGCGGGAGTTCTTGGCTGGCGTTGCCGCCCGGTGGAACCGCATTCTGGCCTCTGCGACCGAGCGCAACGAACTCATTGCCGCCGGTAACGGAGACTACAGCGATGATGAAGGATTGGTCATCCCCGACGCCAACTACCTCGGCTTCAACAACAAACTCATCACCCAGGACGTGCGCTATCTGGCGCACACTATCTACAAGTGGCCTCTCCTGCACAAGGACGGCAGTAACACCACCCAGGTTGTCCCATCTGTTCGCGTCGCGTCGGCCGGCATTCCCAGCATGGTCGACTCCTTCTACGATGGAGCGCTCAAAACCACCATCACCCGGTTCCTGTCGACCTTTGCTATCCGCGTCGATGCTGAGAACTTCCGGGTCACCGCGGATAACATCACTGGTGTCGACTGGACCTCGTCGCAGACTGCTCCCATTGGCAGTGTTCCTGGCATCTCTAAGCCCCTGCTGACCATGGGTAACACGGGTCACTACGAGTACCTCAACGCCGAGAAGATCTACCTGGCTGCTACCACCAAGGACAAGTCGATTGCCTTTACCGAGGGAGCCCAGCACACCATTGACACCTGTACCGCCTGCGAGAGCTACCCTGGACAGTACGGTGACACTGTCAAGACTGCTTTCAACTTCATGGACAAGTGGCTGAGCCAGCCCGGTCGTTTCATCTCTGCCTAAGGGATGTCACCACGTTGGCGGCAACCTGACACCCCATGCCTCATTGGATGCTGTACACCGATACTAATGTATAGCAATATCTGAGTAATACATCACCTGTGTCCACCATAGACCAATTGCTCTCAGTTTCGAGACGATAGGTCATGGGATTGTACTGTATAATAATTAGTGTTCCATAATAGACCATCCAGTCTAGCTCAGAGCGTACAAGATCGTATTCCTCGCAGAGTGCTTCATGTAAGAGTATGTCCTTGAAGCTGAAACCTGCTGAGCCCAGAGAAAAGGGAATGCATGACAAAAGGTTCCTGGAGGAGTTTCCACATGCTGTGTTCTTCACGAGGCCGTTAGTACGGATCTTCTCGGGTATGAGCGGGGTGTGTCTTCGCCTAATAGAAGTCAGTATCTCTTGATGATTGTCAAGCATTGATTGAGTGACCTTTTATCCAGCGTCCTCTTCTGACTGCCATACTCGATTGTTGATGTCTAGCTCGCATTGACTGAGATTTGACGCCTGGGCTGTGCATCCAGAAGCAGCCACCGATGCAAACACCTTTGTTTGTATTGCTACCTTTGATCTCACTTCTTCCTCTCACTTTCTCGCTCTCCTTCCCTTCTTTCCTCCTCAACCTCACTTGCCTTTCCCATCCACCCGACGTGTTTATTATCGCTCTTCGTGTTCCTTTTAATCGATATCTTTCAACTATCTCCCACGACTTACGGTGTAATCTTCCCCTACTGTCAAACCTACCGACCGCCATCATCATGGGTCGCTGGGGATGGCGTAAGTGGCAACCTCACTGTCTTCCTTTTGTGATTTTCTATCCTCAGACCAATGAAGCTAACCTCTTCGCTCCCCCGTCGTCAGGCCTCTTCGAAGGCGATCGGGACCTGGACCTCCTCAGCGATATGCTCCACTATACGGGTCAGGCCGACAAGAAATGGTTCTGGAATCTGGAGGACACAATCCTGGGCCCCGAGACCGCCACCACGCCCGCCGCCAGAGCACACATGCTGCGACATGAGGTCCTGCCCTATATCCGCCAGAAGCTCGACACCGATGGCCTCGGGGAACAGATGCTCGCTGCGTGTCGCGCCAAGGAGGGAGACAAGGAGCTCTTCGACCCCCCAAAGTACACAACCATTCTCATGGGGGCTTTGATCATGCGGGCCGGCGGCCAGATCAGTCCTGCCTCCTTGGAGCATCTCCGTGCGCTGGTCTCACAGGTGACCTGCAACACGCGCTACGTGTTGCCCTTGGCTGACGAGGCGTTTCGCTCGCCGGGTCGCGCGCAGTTCTTGGCTGCTCTGTACCATTACCAGGCTGGGGTGCCACGGAGCTTCGAAGTGCTGAGGTAAGTTATTCTTCTTCGTTGCTGGCGTATGTGTTGTTGACACTGATGATGCTTGTGCAGCTGCTTCCACTGTGGACAGATCGAGTCGGATGTCGGACACGCGCTTCGCAGGTGCGGCAGGTGCAAGGAGGCTTGGTATTGTGACAAGGTTAGTTGATGGATCTCCGGTGCAACGATATGAAATATGTGCCTGATGTCTCTTGGGCAGGACTGTCAACGCGGTCACTGGCGCGACCACAAGCACAGCTGTGTCCCCATGGACGAGCGTTGTATGCTTAACGTCTAGATAATGGATGCTGGGGTTTCCGCCATCTGTTTGTGGTTATGTTCTCAGCTGCATAAGTCAGTGTGGAGGACGGGATTTGCTGCTGGGAAGGTTGGGTTGTGTCTTTCTGAAACCTGTTCCAGGATGCGCCTTCCGGCTTTGTAAGAGTAGCAAAGATCATGATGATCATGTTATTGTATTTGTGTCTTTGCTTGACATGCGCGTTGATCTCTGCTGACGACAGTTGCGCTGTGGTCCTTTTAAGCATGTGTGTAGTAGGCTGCCAGGTCTTCGTACCACATTCAACAGCATTCTGGGTCGTCGGGTCCCAGCGGTCTTAGGCACACGAGTTCCTCGCAGCGCGTGGTTAAGCTGTCTGTACCCCATAAATACATGTCAAAGAATATACTTCATTCTGGTGTGTTGGCTGTGGAACGTCTGTTGTTCTTCCACGTGTGGCCACGACAGTTGGGGAGAAGATTCCTGCTGGTGTTCTTGTAGAAAGTGGTTCCCCCTCACTTACTTTCCAATCTTCTTCTTCCTGTCCCTCTCACACACTCAAAGCATTGGAAACACATAAAGGAGACTGGGAACGGCCGCTGAAGCCGTTGTGTTGCAACATTTAATATACATCTTGGGAGTTAGAGGGCGTACAGGCATGTTCTTGGTCTCGACCACCTTCATAGCTGAGCCGCAATAGGCGGGCTGAGACTCTCACGAGGCTCCTTAGGGTAATGGAACATGAATTGAATTGAATTGAATCTCACACACCTGTGGAGTATTACAACATATCTCCTATATCCACAACGAGAACCAAGCATGCAAGCAGTGATGGACCCCGGGACCCTTGCGAGTGCTATCGTTCATACCGACCAGATCTCACACGGGCGACACAAAACGTCCAGTTACACTGTCGACATGTCTCGAGTCGACCATTCACTCTGGGCGATTGCCCCTGTTTCCTTGCTAACTCCTACCAGGGGATACCCAGTCCTCCCGCCCCACAGAATCTCCGCTTGACTATCCGCCTGCTTGTCTTTCTGGTCACGCAGTAGGCCCCGACACGTTCCCGAGCAGCCAATCCACAATTCCATTACTCCCAGCCCCTCACCGTGGGTCGATGACTTCACCCAGATGAACGCCCCTGTCGGGTTGAAACTGATAGTCTGGGGGCTGGAGAGCTATCGCGTTGATGACGATTCGATCAGCCCATGGCTAGATTGCAGATTCTCCGGCAGAAGAATGATACGATGGGTAACCCACTGTTTGAGCCTCCTTGGCCGTGATGGACCCCGCTCGAGGCATGGCGGAGCCCTGGTGTGTCGTTGACGATTGGCCTGGCGAGCGCCAGAGAGGCCAGCGCGGAGAGCATGAAAATGATCAGACTGAGATTCATGGTCGCGGTCTAGGAAAGAGTCTGGTGAGAAAGAGAGGGCATTGGGTTTGCCGTGGGTGATGAGTGTCTTGTCTGACCTGGCAGGGCACCCATTGCAGGGTGGGATGTGAAGGACTTTTCAGTATGGTGGAGCCGACTCTATAGTAGTTCTGATCATAGACTTACCAGGTGCGCGACATTCTCGAGATCAGTCGTTGACCTTTTGCAGATCATCTTGAGCGCAGAATCCGGTGAGTGATCGGAGGTGTCATTCTGTCCCGCAAGGGGCGGGTTTGGTTGAGAAGACTTGTCCCGCGTGATGCAATGATCACCGTTGTATTGCCGATACGATCTACATGTGGAAGAGAGACCAGGCCACTGAAGTCTGGCTATTGCAGTGTCTCAGTTGAATTACTGAACACCAGATCTTGGCGAGTGTGTGATCATGATTCACTGTATACCCTCCGTGGCTATAAATTCTACAATTCTCCGCGCTCCACTGGTGGAAGCCATAAGTAGATCTGGTTGCAATCTAGTATTGTATATATTAGATTTAAAATAAAATGCATAGAAGAAATATTGCATAAGGTGCAAACGGTATCTATATTACAGGTTTTTCATAAGATACTATTTGAATGTGGCTGCATATTAACTTCGGAGAATTATGAAATTCGTGGCCACGGAGGGTACGGTGCTTACCTACTTGTATCCTGCGGTACAGAAGATGGTACCGGTAGAGCACGCTGTACGGCTAGCTTAATCCAGAAACCTGGTGACAAAGTTGATAGTTGGATTGGGAGTATAGTGCTTAGCGGTGCTATCAACAACAAAAAGAACCGACTGATAGTAGCTTCATGCAATGATCGGTCCTCATATTGCGGTAGTGCAACATTCTCTCTTTTCTTGTATGACCGTGATCTTCGCTTCTTGCCTCACCATACCGGCCTAAGTATGCATTGTGAATTTTGGTCAAGCCCCGCAGGCGTGGTGGGCAGTACACTTGAAATTAGATCAATAGGTAGGTTCAGTAGCTGGAGTCCAATTGATCGTATTGGGATTGCACGCCGCAGCCGTGCAAGGTAGAGATATAAAGCCCAGACGCCGACAGCCTTGATTCCCATTCCTCGACAGTACTCTGCTGGGCTTTTTGTTTTCTTCCCACCAGCTTTCTTGGTTCATTTTTCCTCTTGACGCAAAGCCCCCTCCCTTCTTTCTTCAAAATGCAATCAACATACGTCTTGCTTTTCTTCTGCACGCTGGTGGCAGGGATTTTGACTAATGGTGGTCCTTCGAACCGGTTACGAGGAAAGCGACAGCAAGAGGTAAAGTCCAACCCCTGGGGACCTACCCTAATCGCGTGGGGGAACACGATCATCTCACCGGCGGCCCGCGCCTTTTCCCGGGGATACACCTAGAATAAAGGCATAGATTGGCGGGCTGACGGTCAACGATAGTCAATTCAAGATGCTGTAGATACCCTAGTAGTGAGTGTGACTACACCTGCTCCAACTCCATTAATCGAACCGCAGTGGCTGACAGCAACAACATCTAGCGCACGGTATGTCAGATGGCGGCCACATGAGGCAGTGCAGACTTTGCGTAGACGCATCGAGGACGGGCTAACATTCGATTATAGCTTGGAGGCGTGGCCGGCAATGTGAGTTGCTCAGCCCGCTTGAATCCAAATAACTCAACTGCAATCGCTGACGGCTGAATCAACACTGTTCCGGCACGACGTAGGCCGTAAGTGCGATCCCACTTCCACTACCCTTCCTGATTGGTGTTGAGGGTAGTTATCATCCAACCTGAAAGGATGACCTGACACATTATTGGAAATCTTGCTGATGGCTGGAACTGATACTTACTAATGTCGCAGGAGTGTGTGAGTGTCCATTTGCAGGTCACGCTACCCCTTGTGACAAAGTCATGGTTTGAATGTCGCAACAAGCTGATATAGACTTTTCAATGTCTGTTTAGGGGATAAGCGAACAAGTACAAATCTCTTGCAAGCCATAGGCTCGATATAGTATGACTGACAAGCTTTCCCCACTTTACCACTATAGCCGAATCCTTGCGGGGGCTCTACATCCAATGTGTTGCCCGAAATCTCAAGTGTAATTGAAGGATCGACAGGCGCCTAGTGATCGGCCGGGCACCTCATCGCTTCGGCCGCCACGTGTGGATATCTAGTTCCTCCCAGACAACCTGGAATCCACCACCTTGACGCCTCGATCATCACCATCGCCGGTGCAAGCCTGAAACTCTCCATGTTTCCTTCCGCATTTTTCTGGAGACTTGGTCTGAGAACTGGGGAATACTACCAGGATCATCTACGCTCCCGTTCTTACACACGATGTAATGCTTCATCTCATGTTTCTTTTCTTGCAGACTTGGCTGCGCAGTATCTAGTCCTTCCATTTGAACAGTCACTGACCCAGGTATAATTTACGCTACAGCACTGCTGTATTTCTCTTCCATGGCGAGAAACCTTAGGGAAGGTGCAATGCCAAATGCTACTCGCGGTAGAGACAGATAGACCTGATGAACCGGGCTAGAAGGCGGAACGATACTCCACTAAGAACAATTAAAGCACTCAATTTGTGCAATTGGCTACTATACATCGCACGGAACCAAGTCCAGCCTTCTTGTTTACAACCTTTGCTAACCTTCTGGTTGGAAAACAATCAATCATGATCCCCGTGACAGAGCAAATATCAAGCTCTCTCCACGCTCACCCTAGTCATGATAGCATGATCCATGTGTCGATAGCTACGAAGATAGCATGGTCATTGTCCAGATACTCTTTAAAGTTGTTGAATGTATATTGCTTGTGTTGCATGAGGTGCCTGGGTAAGCCACCGTTTCGCGAGATCGGATGCAATCCCCAGCTGCAAGACTGGTCTGTATGGATAAGAATTTATGTAAGAGCTAGTCATGGGCGTAGATTATGTGGGCAGGTAGACTTCCGAACTCGTTTACCGACGGAGGAGCAGCGGAATGAATAATTGATTTGGGGTCACATACAGTCCAATAAATCGGCTGGCACCAAGGTGTAGGGTACCATTTTCAACAGAATGCTTTTTGCTTCGGTTAAACCGTGTGAGGCGTCATATGTAGGGCAGTATCAAAAGCTACCGCCGCATGCAATGATCGGCCGCTTTCCTTGCTGACGCATTCCACTAACACGGGCAAGAGGCGATGGCGCCTTTCCTCTGCAGGCCTTCCCCCGCTTATCAAGCTCTGTCCTGTACGGTAATAATGACTGAGCCACAATGGCTAAGGCAATGGGCTTAACAATTGGTTATCACGTACGCTGCTTGATAGATATCAAACATGATAGAACCTTATTAATGTCTCGGTATAGTAGCACAGATGTGTATCATGATTGAGAATATTATCCAACCCCCAAGAGCTTCATTCAACCCGGAACGGTCGAGGCTCTAATACCTATAGTCATAGTGCAGATATCAATGAGTCAGGATTGCACTGGGAATTCTTCAATAAATGCCAGGTTCGGGTCACACCCCCCTGCCTATTCAACCTTTCCGTACCTGGCATTGAGTTCCAATTGCTTCTCCTCGCTGGTAACCGTGCAATCATTCTGTTGTGTTTGAAGATATGTCTGACCGATGCTACACAGTTTGAGCTGATGCGTACAGCGGTAAAACTCTGTAAGAGCTGGTGAATAAGAAAATCTCCATTGATTCCACGTCCTTCAATTCCAGACGATTGCTTTACTCCGTGGGTCGCTCACATGGAGAACCACTCCGAGATGAGGGTCGACACCCTGCAGCCATAGGCCGGTGGGGTATCACTTAGAAGGCCACGATGCCTGTCCCTGGTAAATTCCAGAGCTTTCTCTCGCTACAACCATTGAAGTGCAGGACCAGAGACAGGTGCATCTCTCCGGTATGTCTATGTCTCCTCGTGCAAGAGGTTTAATTGGTAGGGACTGAAAGCCACCATGTGAGGCCAAAACCTTGAATCCAGTACAGTCTAGAACTCTACAGTATTTGCCTATTTACTATGTTCCTCCCTCATTATTATTGTCGGTAACTGGATCGCTAAGCAAGAGTTGTTGTCATGCACCGGTTGCTTACTTGAAGCTTTGAGGCATGGCTCGCCGCAAACGGACATGGATATCTGGGGCCTGGGGCGAGGGTGGGGCCATCCTCCTCCAACGCGACGAGCTTATGGTAACCTTCATTTCTGGGACTTAACCCCGCCCTTGACTTCACCATCATGCCAATTCGTGTTCCGGTCCTCTCGTTCCCAAACTCGTGTTGCGCTGTAGTCTCGGAGGCATCTTTGTCAACGGAGAAAGAAAGAAATCAGATTTTTAGCAGCCATGATGTTCTATACCTTCCATACATTACTAAATACAATCATAGAAATCGTGCCTAGGAAGAGCCATGCTGACTGTCGCCTTGGTGTTGCTAGGGCAGGTTTCTCCATTCTAAGTTTCAAGTATTTTCCCGAGTCCGAATGCATAATTACCTCCCTTTCCTTCTCATACCTTCTCAACATGGCGCTCTCTGCAGGCTCTGTTGGGTATATGCCCGATGCTCACCTAGCTGGACCCAGTCAAAGATCCGGGGCTATGTCTGGAGGTTGAGGTTCTACACATAATATCAGTTCCCCAAAGCCATCGTTCCGAAGTTCCTCCTCCTGAGCCCCAATTGTGGATTGAGAAGGTTACGTCTGCCAATCCTGTGATTCAGGCGTCCTTGATAGATATCACGCATACCTACTGGTTTTACCATATCCCTGCCACTCACAGCCTCAAGAGTGAACCGGAACATGCATGCCGTCGTATATTCTATGAATCTTCCGCAGATGTTTATTGTCTTGAAGGAGTTGGAACTCGCTAAACGGTCAATTGCATTGGACGGATCGATATCTGTGTAGCTCGTATTTCCAGATCAGCGGGATGGCATACTGCAGCGTGCGCAGCCTTGGCAGTTCCCAGTGTTATGGTACGTCTCAATAGCCTGATACGAGGCACCGTGTCAACTCAACGCAGTGAAGTAATCAGCCTATAGTTTACTACTAATCTGTTCCTCTGCAATGCTCCTTGGCCTTTCTCAGCCATTGATCTTATCCTACAATGATGCTACAGACTTAACGAACCTTTGTCAGCAACTATCCTCCAGCGCTGACTTGTTTCACTTAGGGCACTGCTTTTTCGCAGACTCACCTTTCGTACTAAAGACTCTTTACTTGCCAAGTAATGCGGGGAAATCGATCAATTCTACATGGTCTAGGTTGTGAAGGCCCGATTCCCATTGACATACCTTGCCTACTGCGCCACCGGGGTGATCCAATTTAGGTGCTGTCTCAAAGAGCGAGAGCTCGTGTATCCGTGGTTAAGATCCTCGTACTGTCACCACAATTGAAGTTATACTAGCTGCATGCATGTGTTGACATCGTGAACTGAGCCGTGACCATTTGAATTCCAATGGCTCCATAGGAAGAGCCTAGAACAACCGTTCAACAAGGAAGAAACTAAATGTGGTTCACGTCGATCGCTTTCAACACGAGTATGGAGAATTGACCAATTCAGTTGTGCGAGTCTATCATCAAAAGCTATAAGAACGGCCCTTCGCTCCGGCAAGCTATCTGCACAACAATCTGATATTATATCTTGTCCAGTCCACAAGACAGCCATCCTCTCAGACCAAGTCACTATTCTGCAAATATGAAGTCCACAATTGTTGTTCTTGCTCCTCTGCTTCCCATGGCCATGTCTTCTGCCGTACCTGCAGACGCAGACGCGAAAATCGACCTGAGCCAGAAGCAAGAGCTATCTGGCAATAACGCTCTGCGGTGCCAGCTTGGGAGTAGCATTGATTTCAAGAATGTCCCATGTGGCGGTGCGCCAATTGCCGGCAGTCTGAACAATGGCCAGGCCATATTCCTAAGATGCCAGAATCACCGGGCCCCCGGCACGTAAGTCTCTCTGCGTTTCCTTCCTTGAAACAAAACGGGTTGGCATGCCGTCGGCTGGTCACTGCTACTCGATACAGGCTTGAATTCTGACCGGATATGCAGTACGTGGTACAAGACTAAGTCCGGGACCTGGGTTTTGAATGTCAATTGCAGGAGTAAGTCTCGCGATCCCTTTTTTCTTTCCACCACGGGATCGTTGATTGACGTCCTATGCTACGATTGTGGAAACTTTTCTAACTTTTGAGCAGCTGGGAATGTCAATAACCTGCCAGAGTGTGATATCTAGCCCCATGTCTTCCATAGGTATTCTACTTGTTACGGATACTGAAACCGAGTCACGGACCTGGGAGTGTGTTTATGAAGGAGCCGTAAAGTCGAAAATACTTCATTGTTGATCTCCTTCTAGAGAGATTGTTTCTTGCTCAGGCTAGGCCTAGGGCCTAACGTTGGGTGATGTACCCAGTCATCAAAACTTATCTTGTCATATGTTACCTGCTTTTTACCATATAGTTAGCTATTTACTGCAATCAAGTCTCTGTTCAGCGTGCTGCTGTATGATCGGAGAGTTTTCAGAGAAATTCATTGCAGTCTAGAGTGATCTGTAGCTCAATAAGTATTGGTTGTAGTACAATGGCAAAACGTGGGGATGACACTATAGATGCACCCCGGAGACATATTCGTGTCTTTAGTATCTTACAGAATTGCAGAACCACCACCACTAATTGAGTAGATCATACGAAACGCAGGGACGACACGAACAGCAGAGTATAAAAGAATGCAACACTGTATGGCAGTTCACCCAGCCTAACCCCACCACATGCGCCGTTATCCTGCCAATTGAAATTGTTGGGATCAGAGTGCGGTAGGCACCTCGTAAGCAAACCGTTCTTCTCCGGCCCACATCGGGAATGAGTTGGCCTGCGCTTGATAGTTCTCCGCTGGCAGCAAACTATCCAACTGGGACTCGACACAGCCGCGCTTGGCAGGAGGCCGGTGCTCGAAGCGGTCCTCAATCCACTGCAGCCAGGTGTGCTTCGCCGCGTTGATGGCGGAGAAATGGCCGCCCTGGGCGACAGCCAGCAGCTCGAGATCCCCTTGGTAGAGCCTGCACGTCTCCTGCACGGTGGTTCTTGTCGTGTTGTACATCACTGTTGAGTCTTCTGTCCCTTGAACGATGAGAAGCGGCCCCTTAAACGGCAGCTTTCCTGGGTTGGCCAACGCTGAAAACGCATCAGCGTACCAGGTCTCGTTCCAACCGGGCTGCAAGAATACCGCTTCTGAGTCGCCCAGTATGGCAAATGTCACCATCTGTGATCCCTCGATCTGATTCAAGAGGTCGATCCTGCTGACGCCTAGGGGTGTGAACCAGTCACTAACTTTGAAGGTCGGAAAGACCGAGGCCAGCTCCTTGGCGATCCACGCGATGAATCCCGGGATGGTGACCGATAATGTGGCCGTCGGCGGTGCAACAACCACCCCACCGAGGTAGCCCTCTGTCAAATCAGTGAACTGGGAGTCGTTGCGAGCCAGCATCTCTGACAGGCCCCAGGCGACCGCACCGCCCTGGCTATGGCCTACCGATACGTAGTCGCTTGACAAGAGCGTAGGAAAAGACTCCCGTGCTGCTCGCAGTGCGTTCAGGGCATCGCGCGCACCGGCTTTGCGGATGTTGTACTGGTGCGGGATGTAGCTTCCATCCCAGGAAGCGTCAACCCCCAGCCCTGCGTAGTCGGGAGCAATGACAACGTATCCCGCCTCGGCCAACGCAAACGGGACGAAGTCCGCGTAGAAGAGCCCACGGTGCGTCGAGGGGGCGCCGTTGGCGTACCAGCCGAATGTTCCGTGGGTCCAGAGGACCACGGGGGCGGATGATGCAGTTGTGGTGTTGTGCAGAGGGCGCATTGGTCGTGGGTGGAATGGCCACAGGATATAGGCAGAAGCGGGGATCAGAGTGCCGTTTAGGTTGGTGGTGCTGTAGATGATGCGGGACATGGCCGTCTTGACGGGTATGGAAAACGGCGACGGGTCGGTGAACTCTTGGAGCTTGAGGGTCTTCCCGGGCTCTGTGGGCCATTGGTCCTTTGGAAGGCCCTGGATGTTGTAAAAATCGTCCTCGTGTGCTCCGCCGTTGGCAAGCTGAGAGCGATCGAACTTGGTGATCGTGTTGACGATTACCGCGAGGTCACTGGTCAAGTTGGCTTGTTTGACCTGATCAGCGCTGAGCTCGAAAGAGGAATTCCATCCTGTCGACTGTGTTGCTGCAACTGTCACCGCTTGGCCAGCAGCCAGCTTTCCTCCCAGTAGGAGTAGGATGAGATTGTAAACGTGTGCGACCATCTTGGCCGTGTCGGTCTGTGGTACTATGCGTCCGAACTTGGAATGTCCTGTGGAAATTGTTTGATGATTTTCGCAATAGCAGTGGACATGGTGCCTGGTTTTATACCCGAACACGCACAGCTTAGCTGACACCTATCTTACCCTCACCATATGAGGTCGGATAGGCAACTTCAATACCGAAGGTCTTTGTATAGCCCATCCACAAGGCTCGCTGGAAAGTGTACGCTCCCCTGATCGCTGCGCTTAGGGCTCGGAGTCGGGCGGTGCAGGGCGGACTGAAGCACCGCATCGTATTAGTAATACGCCTCCCATACGCTTCACGATCCTTATCAAGGCCTGTGAGCTGGTGAGGCTCAGCGTCGTGCTTTTGATGAGCGTATTCGTAATTTCCACTCGGCATACTGTATCTACACTTGGAATTCGGGTCTGAGTCTGTTGCTTGGCTGTGAAATTCTGGGCGGGTTGACTAGGCCTAAACACAGTTCTAATTCACTCATTGAGCTTCTAGGTTGCGTTCGCGGACAGCTTGTTCCTTCCAGGAAATGATATTACCCTCAGATTCTATGGCATGAGCAACAATGTTACTGGTTTCTAGGAGATCGTTAGTCATGTCGATCAAGATCAGCACAATCAAGCCATATTTCATTGATCACAAAGGCCGTATGAAGATGTCACAGCATGAGGCACGACCCGCATATGCCCCAGTATAACAGAAAGAAGAAAATGAAGTTGATAACATTGTACCTGAAGCAACAAGATACTTTCGGGCAGGAACGACGGTCGTATCCATGACTTATCCAAACCTCTTCAACAAATCCTCAACTGTCTCCACCAAAGTATCCTCCAAATTGCGATACCGCAACCCTAACACCTTTTGCGCCTTACTCCCATCCGCAACATACGTCTCCACCCGACCCCCACCCCCCTGGTACGGAACCTTATCCTTCAGCTCCGGAAACCGCCTGCGTATAATCTCACACGCCTCCTGATACACAAAACGGCCCCCAGCGACCAGAAACCGCTGCCCGCCCGCTTCGGGCCGAGTATACGCTTGGTAGTGCGCCTCTGCAACATCGTGCACGTTGGCGAACGCCATGAAGTCATTCTCCGGGACCTCCGCCCGGGATCCGTTGACCAGATTCCAGATTGTCTCGGCGGACTCATTCAGCCGATTGTGTCCTTTGTTCGGGTCGCCGAGAGCGGGACCGAACACCCAGGGCGGGCAGATGGTGGCCACGTCGAAGGTGAGCGGCCTGGCCTTGGCGGCGCTGTCGACCCACTCCCACACCTTCCGTTCCGCGAGAGCCTTGGACGCGCAGTAGGCGAGGCTGACGTCCGGGGTCAGCTTGGCCTCCTCGTAGCTGCACGGGTTCCAGTCCGCCTCGGTGTACCGGTAGCCTTGCCGGAGGCCCTGGGTGAGATCGAGGTTTGCGGCGAAGGAGGAGGTGAAGACGACGCGGCGGACGGTGGGTCCGTGAGCGGAGACGGCATCGAGGACGTTCAGCGTCCCTTGGATGGCCGGTTGGAGGAGGTCGGTCTCGTTGTCCGAGACGGTGAGAGAGAATGGGCTGGCGGTGTGAATCACCCCGCAGACATTTTGGACGGCCTTGTCAAAGGCCCCCGGGGCTGCTATGTCCGGCACGATGGCGAAGGAGAGGCGCTCCACGTATTCGGGTGGATAGCGGGATTTGACGGTCTCGGCGGTCGACGCGGAGCGGACGGTGCCACGGATATTGTAGCCCGCTGCAAGGAACCGTTGGATGATGTGCGAGGCGACGAAGCCGGAGGCGCCAGTGACGAGGATTGTTTCGGGCATCGCAGTGTAGAGAGACTGGTCGAGGTAGGTTCTTATTTCGTGTGAAGAGGGATGAATGCAGGGCGCAAATGGTTCCAAAAATGAGGTCTTCCAATATGGGCTAATCTCGGAGGCCTATCGGGTTAATATATGAGTGGCACGACAAGGAATACGGGCTATGCGGCGTGGGTGTCACCGATACGAAGAGGACCCCGTTCGAACAAAGAATACTGACGTCTATCATCGTAGTGGGTACTGTGGGGGTCTTTAGGCTTTCTGAATACCGTATGTCCTTCCGATTAGGGCTAATCCTCCCGCACGTTCCCGCTATCTCCATCGATACGATCGTTCGGCGGGGTAAGATCTCGGGTTTCGCTGGAACCGAACATGAGTGAAAATGACTCGGAGCAGCGAATGAACAAGATTGGAGACACTTTGCGCCCTGGTAGTGTCATATCCGTACCATCACATTGGAACTAGATGATGGCGGTCGCCGTCTGTCACGTGGGAGCACCAGCCGCCAGTTTGAGATCACATGCAATCGTCCCCGACAGACTTCGTGAGAGACACAAATTCTTAGGTTCGCGTGCAAAATTTATTCACTTGTGACTATATTGTGGATTCCCGCTATAAGAAAACTCTTTAAGACACATTACTCTATACAACGAGCCTTTTGGGCTGGGAGTTTCCGCCCCCAATACTAAATTCGTTATCTTCGCCATATAATAAATTTATGAGTTAAGACCCTTCCTTCCCACGATACTCGCTCTATGGAGAGAAATCTACACCCGAATATATACACCTATCCAGGAGGGATTTTTCTAAATCAGGTGACTGGGGTTTCCCGGGAAACATATTGCAAAAAAACAGATATAAATACAGCAAAACCTATATTCGCTACACCGAAATCCCCATTATAAAGAACTGGTCGGCCCATCCCAGTAGGTTCATTATAGCGAGGGTCCACAGTATTACCAAGCCGAACACGGGGTGAAGTGGCACTTTCATGGGATGGCTGTCCTCCCACGCGCAAAGCGGCGGGTGACTGGGAACAGTTCGGAACTCGGATCGACTCGCAACATCATCCGGAGGCCGAGCAGAAACGGCGCATCCGCCCCACCAGCCTACCCAACCTTTCTAATCTAATCTGGTTATGATCTCATCACAGATGTTAGAATCCGCCTATAGAGGCGCGTATGAAGTATTTCTTCAATCTCCATGCATACTACGAGTCAGATTGACAACTCCCATCATGTTGACTGAAATCGACCAACTCGAGATCCATGTGATCGTCAATGACGAGCTGGACCCTATTTCCCCAAGCCAAAACCCGGCTGTGCAAGTTTCTAGCCGGTTCATGGGCATTCCACTCTCTCCGCTCCCACCGGGCACTGAGCGAGGTGACGCGCGAATGGAGATGCGCATGGACAACATCTGCTGTGCGGCACATGGGATCTCTTTGCTCCTGGTGGGTGACACTCAAACTTTCTGCTTCCCGGTCGAGGACCCTCTTTTGGGCGGGGGCAACAATCACTAACTAGGATACGTAGATCGCGACCAAAGGCGACAAAAAGCATTATTTTCTCTTTGACGCCGGACCAGAGGGCGAAGTCTGGGAGAAGAATTCTAGTCGCCTTCGCACCGAGGTGGGCCGCATCGAGCACGTGGTCTTGTCGCACTATCATCGCGATCATTCGGGTACGTGCTGAGAGCTGTAATTCCCATGGCTAAAGAGTAGTCACTGATCTTCACTCCCAGGTGGCTTGACCAAGGCCATCGAGCTCATCAGAAAGCACGACCAGGGAGGCAAGAATGTCGTGGTGGACGTGCATCCGGATCGTCCGGCCTATCGCGGCGTGCAGGCTGATCGGCCCATCTCCCTGGAAGCGGACCCTTCTTTTGAGGAGCTGGAAGCCGCGGGAGCGACTTTGCTCAAAAGCGACCGACCGCACACCGCACTGGACGATTTCTTCCTGATATCCGGGGAGATCCCGCGCGAGACCAGCTACGAAGATGGTATCTACGGCGGACTGCGGTTTGATGAAACCGCCAAGAAGTGGCAGGAGGATACGTTGATCACGGAAGAGCGTTATGTCATGTGCAATCTCAAAGGTGTGTCACAAACTCGCCATCTTAGCAAATCGAATCGTGGGGTTGTTCTGACTGAGGTTGATGGGGCGGTGATGCAGGCAAGGGACTCGTGGTCTTTACCGGTTGTGGGCACGCTGGCATTGTCAACACCTGTCGCGACGCAGTCAAGCTCGGCAACGACACCCCGTTGTACTGCATGGTGGGCGGATACCATCTGGCCGATGCAGATGATGCCAAGTTGAATGCAACCATGAATGATTTGAAGAAGCTAGAGCCAAAGGTGCTCCTGGCGGGTCATTGCACAGGCTGGCGGTTCAAGTGTCTCATTGCGCGTGAACTTCCCAGCTGTCTGGTGCCGTGTTTCTCGGGCAGTAAGTATACTTTGTAGAAGTAGTGCAGGATATCATGGAAGGATATATAGCCTTACAAATTGAGAGAAGCGGCGTTGGCGCTCGGTTCATCTAGCTATGCTTATGGGCTCTATTTGGGGCTTATTTGAGAACATATTGTGCACCCGACTTCAACAAAATCTTTGCGTAAAGCTCATGCAACCACACCACAGGCCCTGGCATCGGAAGCCTGTCCGTCCGTCCAATGCCCTGAAAGAAGAGCGACTTGAACTCAAACTGGACAACATCATTCTCCCTGTCGACTCGAGCGGCGACCTCAATTAACGCGTCCAGCGGACGGAGGCCGCGAATACAGGTTTTATCTCCACCACGAATGAGGATTGAGTTTGACGACCGATCAATGACCTCGAATTCCGCGACGATGTCAGTGCCTACTCTGTAATCGGACCGTAGAAGCTCGCAAGGGAACCAAAGTTGGTGTGTATTCGCATCGGGCTTATCCAGCCATTTGCGGAGGATTCGTTGCGGAGCAAACCCTGTACAATCATAACAAAAGGTTAGAAACAACATAGGGCTTTGGTTGCGTCGAGACTCAATGCCTTACCAGCTCCCGCCCATATGCCCCCACAGTATCTTTCAAGAAGCTTCTTCGGATCCTCCCGGAGTGCAGGGTCGATTCGCTGCAGTGGCACCCTGAGGATGTGCAGGTCGTGGATGGTGGGGTTGTCGTTGGGATTGTAACTTTTGTAGTACTTGGAAGTGAAGATAGGGTCCGTCGCGTTCAAGGGAAGTGCATGAATGTCAGCTGTCGTGAAGTACACCCCCAATGCTAGGCAGGTACTCCCAGAGATGGCGGTGCCTGCCAGCACTTTCCTTCTGAGAGACATGATGGATGTTTGATCCCCTTACCGGCGTGAAATTTTGCGGCGCATACAGGATCAGCTCATCTACTAGGTATGTCTTGGTAGTGCTTAGTTTGCACAGAAAATACCCACTGAAGCCTATCTTGCTCGGAATTCCGACCGAGTGGGGTAGGTATCCGCGCCCAGCCACTCACAAGGAAGGCTTGGCTTCCGGAAATACCAAGGGGCTTTCGGTGGTTAAGGCATAACGGGCGGTCGAGACTTTGGAAGCCTTTGGAAGCCTTTACCAAAGTGGCGGAGAGAAGATACTTCAGCTTTGGTTCCAGCCAGTGTTTTCATCACACCAAAATGCGACAGAGCCTCGATCCAATGTGTTTTGTCATCAGAGGAAGGTGGTTAAATATGGTGCCTTATCCTTGTTCTCCTCCAAGTTACCTAAACCTTGGTACACACAGTAGTCAATCATCTCGAGAGGCTATACCAAACACCGGTTTCACCCTGCTCTGGAGAAATTACGAGCTATGATGTTTGAACTGCTTCGAGACACGGCATTCGGGAAGCTCGTTCGCATCACAAGCGGATACCGGCTTCTACCATATCCCGAGGAATGTGACACTTCCATCGCGTCAAATTACATCGATAACGCAACAGAGGCCGGAGTCAAGTTTCCCGACCTGGAAGCAAATGAAAGCATTCTTGAGCCCAACGGGCTGCAGACTATCATGTCCCAAGCGTCGAATCGGTCACCGGGAGTCACCATCCATGCGCCCGGCCACGCGGATGAGAAGACCATCATTGTGGGATGGAGACCAGGTGACACCGAGGTAATCCTTGACAATACCTCATTAATAGAGCAAGAGCTAGAACTGACTGGAAGATAGAATCCCCAAAACTGGAGCCTCGGCAAGAAGCTATTGGTCAGCTCACTTATCTGGCTTTTGACCTTTGCCATATACATTGGCTCAGCCATCTACAGCCCCGGTATTCCGGGGGTAGCGGATGAGTTTGGGGTAAGCACTGTGGCCTCAACATTAGGCCTAACGCTGTTTGTGCTGGGGTATGGTATCGGTACGCTTGTCTTTCTATTCCGCCACCACCTTCCTTTCTGACCCTCGAATCCCTTCGGACTCAGCACCCATGATCTGGTCGCCTCTTTCCGAGCTTCCGACAGTCGGCAGAAGCCCTATCTACCTCTTTACGCTTCTCGTATTTGTTATTCTGAACTTCGGCGTTCTCTACGCCAAGAACTTTGGTATGCTCCTCGCATTTCGCTTCCTTACTGGGTTTATTGGATCCCCAGCCCTGGCGACAGGCGGCGCATCTATGGGCGATATCTGGACCCCCCGAGCGCGTGACTATATGATTGTGGTGTGGGGGGCTTTCGCTATTGCAGCACCCGTCTTAGGACCTATGGTCGGCGGCTTTGCCTCAGCAGCCAAGGGCTGGACGTGGACTATTTGGCAGTTGATTTGGATCTCTGGCCTCGCATTGGTTGTCTTGTTCTTCCTGCTGCCCGAGACGTATGGACCAAACATTCTCTATAGACGGGCGCGGCGACTGCGCAAAATCAATGCAAAGCCGTTCTACTGCGAAGCGGAGCTGGAACTGCAAAGCATTTCGTCTACTGTATGTCCAGTTTCCCGCCTCCCCCCTGCCCCCTCACCCCCGGCGACCGCCCCGATTAGCCCTAACATCCCACTGCACCGCCTCAGGAGATCCTCTTTGAAGCCCTCGTCCGCCCCTTCCAGCTCTGCTTTCTCGAACCCATCGTCCTCGTGATGAACATCTACATTTCACTCGTCTACGGCATCCTCTACATATGGTTCGAGGCCTTCCCAATCGTCTTCCAGGAGATCCACGGCTTCAACGCCGGTGAGGGCGGTATGGCCTTCCTAGGGATTATCACTGGAACCATCTGCTTCGCCCTTCCCGGCTACTTCGCCTGGAAGTACTTCATTCAATCCAAGCAGTCTACCAGCACGCCCGAAGGGCAGCTTCCGCCGGCCATCGTTGGCAGCATCTGCCTGCCCGTGTCGCTGTTCTGGTTTGGGTGGACCGGGAACTTCGAGTCCGTCCACTGGATTGTGCCTATCATGGCCTCAGCTCTCTTCTCGGTCGGGGGGTGCTTGATCTTCAACCCGATCTTCTGTTATTTGACACATGCCTACCCGCACTATGCCGCCTCGGTGCTGGCCGGAAACGACTTCATGCGGTCGTCCTTTGGTGCTGGCTTCCCCTTGTTTGCGGCTGCCATGTTCCACAATCTGGGCGTTGGGTGGGCGTGCACGTTGCTTGGAGGGCTGACTTGTCTTTTCGTGCCGTTCCCGTTCGTGCTATACTGGTGGGGGAAACAGCTGCGGTTGCGGAGCCGGTTTGCGAGACATGATATTTGATGTACTTTGTATGATTTGCGGGTCTTGAGGTGTATATACATTTTATTATGATAATAGAACGGTAGACGAAACAGATTCCGGGGGTAATTGGTTGCTGCGAAAACCTGGTATGGAGCTCCAGTTGATAATCTGCATGCTACTTTCACCGATTCACACACCAGGGATGCTCTCATGGAAAGACTCATTGCTTTGCTGACATACCGAGGATAAACGAAGTGCTGAGAAGCGCAGGATATTAGCAAAGCGGGTTGCCCTGTCTTCACTCACGGTATTCCCCGCTTCAAAGCAGACCTAGTCACTGATGCCCCCTTGGCTCTTATCTGGCATACCAGAACTTAGTGGCTGTTGCGCGTCGTAACCCCGCACAGAAGTTCCGAGAGCTGGTCCGAGAAGGGACGGGGGAAATGAGGATCTGGCCCAATTCATTGTCCCCCAGTCATCTTTGCCTGTGCTACACTTTCATGAGCTCGAGCCCGCGGTTTGCCTCCCCCCACCCCTGAGTCGCCGGGCCAACGGTCCTGGCCTCAATGTCCTCTTGTCCGACGGCCCTGCCCCCAGGGCGAGCCCAAGCTTTTCCCAGCTATGAGAGGATTCCAGAGGCTGTGGTCTATCATACCGCATCCCAGGCTGCCGAGTTGGGACTATGCAGTATTCCCACGTTGCAGCATCTCTCCGGAAGAGCTAGAACCGTCCACTGCTGCGAACCGACGGTCTGACGCAATATGACTACCCACAAACCCGCGAGCCCTTCGCCCTGCCCTGCCCTCTTCCCCGGATTTCGACTACGCAACAGAGGGCATGTTTAACACGCGCAACCTGACCTTTCTGAAGAGGCATATGCACGGCCCCTGCTTTGACCTCGAAGCCATTTGGGAAGAGAAGAGCACACTTACTATGAGTTTCAGAATCGATCTGTCGAGCACACCATGAACACTATGGTGCAAGAGCCATATGTGAATCACATCGCCACGGTGAGTGTCACCTGACCCCCCACCCCGGGTCACAAACCCGTTGGTGTCTTCGATCCCTGTCCGGAACGAGGGGCTGGGTATTCAGGAATCCGGCCGATACGACGAATGAGCTTGTCAGTCGGACCATTAGCATCGACCGCGTGGTGGACGAATTTATCATGACATTCACGCATGGCTCGGAGACCGACTGGTTGTAAGTTCAACCGATGCTGTCCGTTCCCCTGATGAGATTCGTGTCTTGACAGGCTTTTCTTTTCCCTTTCTCTCTTTCCATGCATGTTTTTTTTTTTTTTTTTGGTAGTTTCGTCATGCACCTCGAACTCACCCTCCTGCAGGATCCCTGGCATCTCCCCTCCAGGCCGGAAGCTGGAAATCCCCTTCATGGCGGTCTTTAATATCCGAGGCGACCGGCTCTACCATGAGCACATCGTCTGGGATCAGGCGAGTGTGCTGCGGCAGCTCGGCTTGCTGCCGGAGTATTTGCCTTATCCCCATCCGCGTCCAGCTGGAGAAAGACCAACCCCGGGCAAGCGCCTGCAGGTCCGCGTCCCTGCCGCAGGCACCGAGACTGCCGCCAAGATGCGGAATAAGAATGCTGTACCATCGAATTTGCTCTTAAATGGAGGTGTGAGGGAGGTGTGGTCTGTGTAATGTTAGTGTTTTCCTCGGCATACCAGATTGTTATATCGTATATACGGGTTTTAGATACATGTATTTCCCGTTGGATCTGGTGGAGAATACGGACAAGCCTGTCGGTGGGTGTAGACTAGTCAATACTAGCTTCTCATTTGAAACACCTTCGTCATCTGTATTTTCAGTATTGCTTTGGCTTTGGCTGACCGGTCTCATTCACATATTTGAACATAGATGCCCAGACTACAGGTCAGGCTCTAGCTACAGTCCTTTAAGCAGACAGCAGCCTTGCCTTGAAGACCACACCATAGCTCCCAACTTCTCCTCTGCGGCTCCGAGTTGAGGTTTCCACCCACGGACGCATTATTGAAGGGAGAACCGAGCTGTTTTCAATCATGTCGCTATTGGGAACCTCATCCGCAGTCGTTCGCCAAACCTGAAGAACGCCAAGGGTAGCGGCAGCATAACCAATGCGATCAATGCTAACAACGAATTCCCCCACCCCAGCCCCAACGCACTATACATATCCGGCCCCGCCAGAGGTAGGACAGCCCCGACCAGTGATCGCAGCACGGTGTTCGCTGCGGCCGCCGATGCCGCCTGCGCCGTGAATGCCTCGACGAGATATGTCTGAATTGCAGTCTAGCCACCATTTGTCAGCTACACAACAGTTTTCCTCCTATCGAGGCCACCAGTGGGGGGGCTGAACTTGCAATCTGGAACGGAAAGAAAAAAGAAA